TAGAACACAAAACGACTTCGGAATCCTGATTCAACTTGAAGCCCAATAAAAAGCTCAGGTGGAGGAGATCTACGAGGAGTTCAACATCGGCGGGGTTTTGGACCTAGCCCCATCGGACAAATTTGCCTTTTGTGCCATTGCCAAAAGAGTCCCCTACGTCGGGGTGGCGTTCACTGTGGAACACGTACCTAAGCTGCCCTTGGCGCAAATTCAAATTCAGTTGGGTTCCTTGTTAGCCTAGGTGGCCTTGTTGACAAAGAGATTGGAGTACTTGACCTTCCGCGCCATGCAGCTGTCGGATTCACCCCTTTATGAACCGGGCCTAGCCGCCCTCCTTCACCCTAAGAGGAAGAATAAGAAGGCCTGTGGCCTTACTTGACCCCTCCAATTCAATTAAACCATTGAGAGCTTGGCAAAACGCGTCAGGCAAATGAAGGGAAAACTGAGAAGAAATCCAAGAAGGAAGCGAAGAACGATGATGGCAGCGAAGAGGGCAGCGAGGGTCAGGACGAAGGAGAGGAGGAAAACGAAGAGGAGGAAGAAGAGGAGGAAGAGGACGAGGAAGCCCAGTCAGCTGAAACCGAAAAGGAAGAAAACGCTGGCGAGGAGGCTGAGGACGGCGAGGAAAGCGAGGAAAAACCAAAAAAGGCAAAGGGTAGTGGGAAGCCAAAGGCAAAGGCAAAGGCCAAAGGCAAAAGCGCAGCCAAGCCCAAGAACAAGACGACGAAGGAACCCGCTCCGAAGTCAGGAGGCCGCCCCAAGGCGCCATCGTCATCATCAAATTGCGGTTCCTGCGCTCTGATTGTTATTGCTCTGCGTGCTGGCTTGCTTGCTTGCTTGCTTGCTTGCTTTGCCGTGCTGTGCTTGTCCCTGAGGGCTTGTGTTTAGTTGTTTGGCTGTTGGCTGACGTTGGCTGCTGGGGCTGTGGCTGGCTGTGGCTGGCTGGCTGTGGCTGGCTGGCTGTGGCTGGCTGGCTGTGGCTGGCTGGCTGTGGCTGGCTGGCTGATTGGTTGGCTTACTGGACCGCCACCTCACTGATTTCCCCCGGTTTCCCAAATTGGTAGCCAAAACAATGCCAAATAACGAGCAACTACAAATCTTTGCCAAAGGGGTGCTATCTTCAGCAGGCAGCCCAAGCTTGGCTCATTGGGCAGTAGGACGAGTTGAAAAAAGGGTTTAAATTGTCCACCCTCACATCAGTCGACCCATTTGTCTCACATTTGGTTTGGCAGGGAGTGTAGTGGGAGAAAGCACGTAGTCGGTAGTCATCGAGCCCAACTGCAGGACTACCTTATTTGAAGGGAAGGGCCCCTGAAGGCAAACCTTGTCTCATTTTCAATGAATAGCTTTATACCCAGTATTAAACCAAAGACACGTCATGTTTGAAGAAACCTCCTTTCGGGAAATGGACCTGCCAACTTTGGGTTCCATGTGCATTGGCAGAGGGGTAGTTGGCAACAAACGGATTGCGCAACGAGGGGTTCCCGTTAATAAAGGGGTCTGGGGGTAAGGGCGTGTTTGCGAGACATGCTGGTCTGCTCGCAAGCGTTCGCATGTGGAGAAAGTTGCCGTGCTGCCGTGCTGCTGGTTTAAATGAATCTTGAAGCGCTGAGTTTGCGCGCACACGCGTGAAGATGATGTGTCAGTGTGTTTGCGTGCGTGTGTGTTTGCAAGCGTCGTGTGACTCGCCTGGACATAGGTGTTGTCCAACGTGGACGCAAGACTTTTTCATGTTTCTGTAGGCGCGCGTGCGTGCATGCGTGCGTACCTGTGTGACATATGTTTTTGTGTGCGCGGCACGGCTGTGACTTACCTTGACAAAGCGTTGTCCGCAACGCGGGTGCGAAAGTGTTTGTGTCTATGTGTGCGCTCGGGCGTGCGTGTGCGTGTCTTGGGCGCAAGTTTGCGTGTGGACCACAGGTTTATTTTTGCGACGGGTGCATTTTTGCGACGTGCGCGCGTGTTACTTTGTAATCCGAGGTTGTTCAACACGCATTGTTCTCATCATCCCATCTCCATATCCCCCGTCCCTAATTTAGCTGTATTTAACACATCGGTTTCGGGACCTCAACAGTAGGCACTTTCGCGGTGGAGGGGCCTTGTTTCTTAGGCTCACCCAAACCCCAGCTTTCAGTTTCTATCGGAGGTGGAACCCAACTACTGTAACAAACGACTGAGGGACTTCGGATGATCCCTTTCTCATTGCAGGCCAAAGGCAAGTGCAAGACCCTGGCCAAGCTTGAAGCACTGCAGGGCTGACACAGTCTGAGTTCATCCCATCACATGAAGACCTCTCAGTCAGGGTCGCTATAAGCTGAGAGAGACTACACTGATGCGGGCAGGTTTTGACAGAAGCGTGGTGCCCTGGTCAAAAAGCCTGTGTACTTGCAGTTGCATTGATTGGGTCAGGAAACCGTTCAAGATTTGCCTTCAGAGCTAGTTGTTTCAGCACTGGCTCAAAGGTGACTCAAAGGCAATCCCCCTTAGTATTTTGACCATGCCCTTGCCAAAGCCCTTGGTCCTGGCAGAAGACTGTGCGGGCTTGGGCCCGCTCAGCACATGCTGCAAGCGTTTGAAGTTGGGTTACCAACTTCACTACTCCTCGGAGAGTGATGTTCGCCTCAACAAGTTGCTGCAGTCCGAGATTAAGAGCTTGGATGCCACAAAGAACATGCGTTTCTTATCTCCAGTTGTGCCCTTCCACGCATAGCCAACGCTGACATTGTGACCTCCTTTGATTCCGCATCCAAGGCTGGAAAAAACATGTGCACATATATGGTGCTGGAGCACCATGCCAGCCCTTCAGTGCCATCGGCTTGGGAAAGGGCGAGAAAGACCCCAGGGCCAAGATCTCGGAAGCCGCCACTTAGTATAAGCCGTTACAAATGCCCAAAAAAGTGAAAGCTCACAAGCTCAGTGCCTAGGTGGTCCAGCGAATCCTGAAGGAGCGCCCGGATTCGTTCATACTAGAGCATGTGAAGACTCTGATGGGTAAGCGGCACCGGGGATTCCTCCTATCGCTTTTGAAGAAGCCCCTTGTCCCACTAGTTGGTTTGCTTAAGGCTCAAACCCGTATGCTTTTTTAGGGGAGTTCAACTCAGTACAATAGAGTGGCTTTCATTTTGGTGTCCCTTTAAGCAACGAAAAAGGAGCACCCTCAAAAAACACAGACCCATGTGCAATGCTCTGTTTACTTCTTTGCCCAGGCTGCGGGCAAATAGTTTTTACGCTATCCACTGGGCAGCCCGAGCCTTAAACACCATCTACCTTTGTTTGCCACCCTCAGTGTTTTGTTGCAGGTGCTTGACGCTTTGGCTCATGGAGGGGTGCCGCAACGCCGGCCCCGCCTGTACGTTGTGGGCCTGAGGCGCAAGAAGATGCTTCGAGCCTCGGCAAAACGCATCGGCTGCTGCTTGTGAAGTGGCCTGAAAATTGAACTGCGTGGAAGGACCCTTCAAGTTCCCGGCGCCGATCAAATCACCCCGGACCACCGTCAAGTTGCGAAACATTCTTGGCAGGAGCCCTGCCACTGTGCGCTCAACATGTTGTGGCACTTTCATTCGGCTGTTGCCAGGAAGTCCAAAAAGACGGTGTTGCCGACAAGTAAGTCTGGCAGAAGGAATTTGAAGATCGGGCTGAAGAAGATCCTTGCAAGGGGAGGCTGCCCTGACAGTGAGCCATGGTTGCTTGCCAATATTATTTTTCCCTATTAGCAGGTATCGTTTATCAAAAAATGCTTCCCCTGTGCATTCCAAGGGTTGTGGACATCGGTGCCTCCAAGAAGTTCCAGGGCATGCCAAGCCTCGACGTGCTACTTGTCAATCATTAATTTCACAGTCAAGATTGGGTTGCCTCTTTACATCTCTTAGGTCGCCTTGCCTGACCCGTGCCCGAGCAGGGGCAAGGGCCTACTATGTGACATCCCACCGACGCTGCTTATCCCTGTCCGAAGCCCTGCGCATTCAGCCACGCACACATGTTGGTTGGGAAAAAATAACACACAAACAGCTTAGGAAATGGCTGAGCTGCAGGGCTATCGCCCCGCAGAGTTGGTGGTCGAGGGCATGACCAAGCGCCAGGTGGGCTTGGCTTTGGGAAACGCCTGGTGCGTGACCCTGGCCACAAGAGTTGTCAAAGAGCCTTGGTAAGAACCAACTAGAAGCAGATTTCCCTTGGGTCTGTGCTTTGGGGAATCTGTCCTGGTCCTGCGCTTTGGGGCCAACAAGGGCTAAGGTAGCAGGGCAAAGCTCCAACAAGATCATCCATGATCCCCTTGACGCTTACTCAGGAGATTTGCCTATCCATGGGATGGCTCTGATTCCCGCGCTTGCTGACCCTTACATAATCGCCGGTGATGCACTGATCGCTGAACGCCGCTGAACGCGGCGCAGTACCGTACAGTAGTAATTAGCTACCCTGATCCACCGCTGCCGGGCAACAATGGCAAAAACTGAGAGATTGCATGAAGGCTGGCGTCATCATCAGCCGTTCAGGTTCAGTCCGCCCTACCTCCCGCACACGCCAGCCCCGGCTCAGGTCGTGGCTGGGCTGCAGTGGCAGCAGCTCCGCGAGCCACGCACGGAGAAGTGGCAGGGAGGAGTTTTTCCCTTTCTCGTTTTTTTTCCCTTTTGGGGGGGAAAGAAAAAAGGATCCCATCGGAGAAGTGTCAGCGTTTTACCCTCAACTGGACCTGGAGATTCGTTTCTTTCAATCCCTTGTTTTTTTTCTACTGGGGCAGAACTTACTATTTCATTTGCAAGCGACAACCGTGTGAAGAAGACTTCGATTTGAGCAAGTGTTTCAAAGTCTTTTGAGAGCCACTTAGGCGGTTATCAAGATCTCCCAGAAAGTTAAAAACGAAAAAACACAGCGATTAAACGACATTGTTAAACGCACCCCAGCAAGGATTCGCCAAGGATAAGCTAAGGTAAGGGGCAAGGGGTGGGCCCTCTCCATAGCTTGGTCCATGCAGATCCCTCGAATCGGATCGGATCGGAGTCCTTCCGCGTCCACCTTCAGGAAGGCACAGCTGTGCTCCTTCAGGTCGAACTCTGAAGGGCCATCCATGCGCAGCAGAACGTCCTGTTCGGAAGCCAAAGTAGGGCGTGTTGCTACAACATGTGCGGTTCAACGGCGTTCCGCGAGTTTTGAAAGGGAAACACAAAGGACACCCTTGGACATTTTCGGAAATGGACCGGGTCCTACGTTGAGAGAAACACCCGAATCGCGCTTCCATGCACACTCTGTGCATCTAGGGAGCCAATGAGATACTCAGCACGGAGGAGGAGTTCCTCACCTGGCCAGGCAAGCTGAAAATTAAAAATCCCAAATGGTGGACATGTGGGGATTCATATCCACCAACCACTTGTGAGGTGGTTCCCTCTTTACATTCATGGCCAGTGGTTTTGTTTGTTGTTTTATGGTCCCTTGTTGGTGGTTGTGAAGGGAATCAAACGGACAAACGCTGATTATAAGGGCCCCACATGCTGAGACAAGCCCCAACCAGTCCCACGACAAAGGAATCGGGGACCACTTCTAGCTTGTTTGATCCCTAATGACGTCTGTTGAGGCAGTCCGCGGATGCAGAGCCCGGAAACTAATCCTTCGGATTTGCTGGGGACTTGTGTCTGTGGTTGGTCCTCTGTCGCCGCTTGACCAAAAAGCATTGCTCGGAGCACTCGAGAAATGCCCGAAGGGTGGTCAGATGGCTGCGGGTCAGGATCCCATTTTGGGGTAGGTGCACCACCCATTTTAGAACCTATTTTAGTGGGGATTGGGATGTTCACTGGCGGTACGGGCTTTTGACCCATGGCCAGATCGGTAAAGGAAATCCTTGCCCGAAAAGTGCGAAAAGGGTGCCACTGGGCAACTGAAACGGGGAAAGCGAGGTCTGATTGACACGCATAGCTCTGCAACCTCATGTTGGTGTCAGGCGTGTGTCAAGAGGTGAGTTCGTCAATTGTGAAGCAATCCACACAGGGAGTACCCCCTCTCCAGTGGTACTCTTATTTCCCTGATAGCCGTGTAAGACCATCCTTTCCAGAGGTAGACCGTTGGGCCCGCACCTCGGAGTCAGAGCTCAGATAGATGTGCGAGACTCCGAGGATGCCAACCCCAGAGTGGGTTGCTCTGCAATGCCCGGCAAAGCGGAATTCTGGCCCCAAAGACAAACCACAAGAAACCAAACCAATGTTCCACCGTTGTGATTTGATCGTGTTTGAGAGGCGAGCAAAGCAACCCGCTTACTGAGAGGAGTGTCCTGTTGGGCTCTAGAATCTCGCTTTGGGGGTCCTCTAAGTTTCCTGGTGTCGTGTTCCTCCGCAACAAAAACAAAAAAAGTTGTCTTGGGCTCCTACAATCACGGACTGGGCTACCCAAAATTCGGGGCCTGGCCGCCGCCGGCCGCCGCGACCGCAGAGGAAGCCGCGAGGTGCGCGTCAGCGGCAGGGCGGTTGGAGGGCAAGGTCATGGTCAGCATGGACTCATCGGGGGACTGCAACCTGAGAGTCAGGATGCAGTCTGGGGAGGTCTCAAAATGGGGAATATTTGGGACCCGACCGGCTGATTCAGCGGATCCGAATCCTTGTAAAGCAGGCGGCTGCTCGATTCCGAGGAACTCCGTTCCGCGGTTGGGCAGCTTGTATTCACAATACCCGACTCCCAAAAGGGAAAAGAAAAAAATCCCACCCAACCGGGCGGACCATTTTTTTGCCCACCCCACGTCCAAAGAGTGGGCTTGAGCCCGGGGAGTAGGCTCAATTCCTTAGGGAAGTGGTTGTAAGTGTATCTTCAACACAGCATGTGGCGCGGCGGCGCGGATTGATCCTCGCCGTGTGGAAGAAGTATGCTCAACGTCTTTGCAGGGAACCCGACTTATCGCTGGGACAAGTCGCCAAGTGCCCATGGTCAGAGCCGTAGCACTTGCGACATCCCAATGACTCTCGGGCGCTCCCAATAAAGCCCACACGAGTCCATATTAAGTGAATGACACACCTGCGGCTGCCAAAGTTGGTCCATGCAAGTCTCAGGCCACCCCCGCACGTCGCTTCTCCCTTTTGGCAACCCTGTCGGTCCATTCGGACCACTGTAGCTGGGACCTGCTATGGCATCTATGGCCTGGCGGACTGTGCGCAGGGAAGAAGCAGGCCTGCCTCTAATTGGCAATGCTGCGCCCCTGTCGAAAGCATGAAACTTCAGCTGAGGCAGTTTCGCTGGATCTCGATGCTTTGACATTCGCAGCACCATCGTATGTACAACGGCCACAAAAACGTGGCCAGGCACATGGTCAGGAAAAAGGCAAAAATGACCGAACAAGGGCCAAACAATTCTCAAGCAAGAGCTGTTCAGTTGGTGCTGTTTCAGGTCAAGACGGTCCTAGCCCTGAACAGGACTATACAAATGTCTGCAATCTTCAACTCTCCAAGACAGACATGACAAGCTCCTAGCAAGAATGTAGAGATATCTATGCACAGTCTATCAGAACGGCTTCCTGTACATGGATTAACATTTGCGATCAGGCAGCCTCCCGTTGAATCTGAACCCAGTGAGCAATGGCATCCAGCAAGACACTGCTCTTTGTGCTTGGAAAGTTCTCGCATAGACCTTCTCCAATCACTTCCAAACACTCCTTCCGAAATTCGGTGGCGTGCAACAGGCGGGATGCTTGCACTCGATATCGCGGAATGAAGGGTTGTCCAGACACAACTAACAGTCTTCCGGGGCACGGCGAAGTTTGTAGCCAAGTCTGGAAAGTCTCTGTAAAGCCTGCTTTTGGATTGTCTGTTGGCACGACCAGAGCTGAGGACCAAAGTTCTGCGTGATCTGAGTTTCTTGCAAGGTATTGGCGCAACCTCTCTGCAAGTCCAGCTTCTGTTGCACAATCATCGGGAACAAGCACATGAGAGCTGTGGTCTGCTGCGCTATCACGAGGGCGACTGGAAGCCAACATGATAACCTGGTCAGGCACCACACCATTGCTGATACACTTCTGCAGAAACGAACACTTCTTCTCCATACCTATCAGGGTTCCTCCAGTAATGACCACATAATTCCACACGCCTGCTTCAGGAACCCTTGCCGAAGTGAAGCCTAGGTCCCCACAGGCCTTCCAAAAGTTTTCTTGGAGGACTGGCCCTGGCGAGAGCTTGGATCGTACTCTGGCCTCACGGCGCCATTCGCTGATAACCGCCTCTTCAAGCTCTGAGCGTGACATGCTTCCAACATCCGGCAAGGTGGATGGCTGTCCTTGCCTGTAAATGTCCAAGCAGGTTTTCAGCAAACCTTCTTCCTCCCGGCACATCACCCCGATCGGCTGAGAGGTACTGTCCAGGATTTCCTCAATAGGTTCCCGGTCCTGCAGCAGGCACAGCATTCTGTGCGCTGTTTCACGGAGTTTCCTCGCGTCGTCCCTATCACGGTTTGCGGCCGGCATTTCATGAGGTTCTCCGAGGTCTACATCCCAGGCCAGAAGCTTCTGGTGGAGTGGTTCACACAAGCCTGTCCCATAGGCCACGAGGTCCTGAAGATCGTTCCAGAATGCTCTCAAATGTCCAGGGACATTTGTCAGGCACGGCGTATCGTCTTGCAGGTACCACTCAGCGACCTTGCGAAATCTATAAACATGCAGGAACGCCGACTCACTTTCGTATGAGGCATACCCATAGGAGGTCGAGGCGGTCGAGGAAATCATACCTAGTGTGTTTACGCACCCAGCCAGTACCTGCTGACTTGAAGCCAAGAAGCAGGTGCAGCTTGACTCATGCGTTTTAGTCAGCCACTTTCATGTCTTGAGGGCTGATGGCTCACCCATTTTGAAGCCACATCCTTGGCTTGGGAAAGCCGTTGGTGATTTGCCCCTGAGCAAAGGCAAAGCCACCTACTTGCTGCCTTTGACCTCGAAAGAAGGATGAATGGTAGGCCCGACACATGTCTGCAACTGGCAAGTAGTTCCAAAGAATCATTTCACTGGAAGCGGGCGAGCTCAGGCCCTAGTCCACCTTCTGCTAGATTTTGCATAGGTTAACCACCTGGCCTTTGAAATCCAGTTTACATCCCTTGCCTTGAACCTGAATGGACAGTGAAAGTTCAGCTTCTGCCACCGTTCAAACGCGCCCTGAATGATACGACAATAAGATGCAAATGTGATCCTCGTGGCGCTCAGTGAAAGCAGAAAACCCCCAGTAGAAAGGGACATGCATGGATGTGCTTGCAACCCCCTTTGTGATGTCGCTATGATTTGCCCAAACCCAGTTGGCCCCGTGTGCCTGCCAATCTTAGCACCCTCAAGAGAACCGAGAGTGTCAAGGTTGCCGCTATTTTAAGACGGCAGGAAAACTTGGGCGGGGCGCTGTTTTGAGGGGGTCCCCCTTCCGGCTTTGCTCAGGTGTTGTCTGCCTAATGGACCCACCGCAGGAATAATTGGGGTATAGCCCAAATAATGTGTGACGTGTGAATTTTGTTGGCTGTATATCCCACTCAACTTTGGGAAGTGTTTTGGGGGCGGGGGGGGGGGTGAACCCATAAATGGGTCTGTCTTTTTGAAGGGGGCCTCCTTACCCCCAATACATATATATACATATATATATATATATATGTATATGGTGATTTTCCGGTTGGTTTCCCTCTCAAAACAGAGACGGGTTACCCTCAAAAGAGACGAGCCACCGAACCACCCAACTGAGTTACAATCAAACCCCGGTATTAAGATGGTCGACCCAGAACCATGTAAAGGATGAAGCCGAATTTCCGCAGTATTTGTGAGTTGTCCCTTACGAACCTTCATCCACCCCCTGGGTTTTGAGCCGGCGGCTCTGGCTCTGCTCGCTTTCCCGGGGTCCGGGCAGGCGCTGCGTGCCGCGCCGTTGCTTGGCCCAGGCCGCCGCCTGCAGCGTGCTCAGGCGGCTCAGCGTGCGCACGCCGTTCAGCCGCGCGCTGGCCACCAGGCGCCGGAGGTTCCTCGCGCCGAAACGGACCGAGGTCGGCCACAGGGCCTGGAGGAAACTGAGAGGAGTGGACCAACAGTGGCGAAGACCATGGGAAGCTTGGAAACCATAGAAGTGGGGACAAACCATAGGGAAAAAGCCAAAGGTCCTAGAGAAACCAAGGAGTGGTGAAGACGATAGGGGAAACCATAGAGAAGTGGGGACAAAGTGACTTGAAGAAACCGGGGAAACTTGGTGTAGACCATAGGGGAAAAACAGCACATCAGAGGGAAAACGAGAAAACAGGAGAGCTCGACAAGCTGAGTGGCCTAAACGCCAAACTTGTGGGAAGCCGAAGAGACAACGAAGCGAAACAATGGAAAACCAAGGGCAAGCTAAGGCGACTCGGAAACCCAAGGAAGGGAAAACACACAACAGGAACGCAAGGTGGAACCAAGCAGAAACCAAAGGGACACCAAGAGGAAAACAAGGAGAAACCAATTGAAACCAGAAGAAAAACAAAGGTAATGGTATTCAAAGAACAAATGTTACAACATATGTTTTGTGTATTTTAAAAATAGAAGAATGATGCATATAATATATGTATGTTGGAAAACCATCAACTACAAAATACTTCAAAACATCCTTTATTGCATATGTGTTTGATAAATATGACTATGTCAAATGATACTCACTTAAGTTACAGGTAGTTAAGTTAATACCTCGTCAATAAGTGTAAACAATGTATGTTATATAACAATGTGTTATTGTCCTTGTGATTTTATGAAACATTTCAGATTTCTCAATTATATTGATAAGCAGTTTAAAAAGCAACAAACACAAAATATATAAAAACACTTAATATTAAGACGCATTATTTATACTGTTTTTGATATATGTCAATATAATTCCCCGAATCCTGATGTTTTTGGTTTTTATGTTTGCAAAACAATTAATGTTGATTATTTCTTAAAGGGGGCAAAAAGGGGAGACCAAGGGGAAACCGAGGGGAAAACCAAGTGAAAAACCATGGGGGCCATGAAGGGGAAACCAGGGGAAACCAAAAAAACAAGGGAAAGCCAATGGGACGCTGCAAAACACAAACGATTCCAGGTAAATCCAAAAGGAACCAAGGGGACAACCAAGCGGAAAGCTGAAACCAAGGAAAAAACACCAAGGGAAAACCAAGCAACAACCAAGCAGAAAGCAGGGGGAAAAAACAAGGCAAAACCGTGTGAAAACCAAGGGGAAACTGAGGGAAACCAAGGGGAAACCAAGAAGAAACCAAAGGGAAACCAAGAGCGAAACGAAGAGGATCCCAGCGTGAAATCAAGGAAACAACCAAGGCAAAAAGCATGGGGATCAAGGGGAAGCCAACGGAAAAACCGCTGGAACACCAAGGGGAAATTAAGGAGAAACCAAGAAGCCAACGAAACCAAAGAAAACGCCAAGGGAAACCAAACTCTCAACAAACCTGGACATCAGAGGGGAAAAAAAAAATAACACCAACAAGGGCAAGCCAAGGGGCTTGCTAAAGCAACACTCAAACCAGGAAAAGCCGAGGGACACCGCCGCTAGTGGTTTGGATGGGCGGCTTCGCTAGTTGGATTTGGAATCTCTGGCCGTTTTTTTTTTTTTTTTTAATTCGGGGCTATCCCCACACCAGAAATCCAAAACAACCCAGGGTTGCATGACACGAGGCTCAACCAACCAAGAGACAATTACCCCAAAATCGGAAGATTCAAAGAGGAAGCAAGGGAGAACGCCAACAACGCTAGACCACCAAAGGGTTCAACAAAACATCAGCGTGAAACCAAGAAAGGGTACCCAAAGCTTGTGGCAAAATACGAGAACACCAGTGAAGAAAAACACGCCGAAAGGAAAGCAAGCGAAGGTTCAGCAAACCGAGGGGCACAAATGCAGAAACGAGGGGTAGGGGGAACCCGCAGTCCTTGTTTGTGCAGTGTTGTTTTTCTCGGACGGCCCGTGCATTGGGAGGTAAATTACAAAAAGTTCAAGAAACCAACGAGAAATCACCGAAGGTTCAAAGAAAGGGAGGAAGAAAGGGAGGAAGAAAGGAAGGAAAGAAAGGAAAGAAAGGAAAGAAAAAAGAAGCAAAGGCTCAAGCAGCCAAGGGACTGGTTCACCAAAGGGGAAGTGCGGACCTTGCTTTCCTTGACCCCAAGCTGTTTCCGGGCGGCCTCGGGTCCGGCTCCACCGCGATGACGGAGAAGCCCTCCGCGGCCGCGCGCACCGAGTAGAGCCCCACGTTGGCGCCTCAGGGGCCCGCGACCAAAAAGGCCGAGCAAGGCCGAGTAAGGGGCAAGGGCTTGGATTTCTTGTTGGGCTCCTTGGCGCTGCTGTGTTTTTCTTGTTTGGGGGGGGAGGGGGGTTCTCTTCTTTCTTTTCAAGTTCTTCTTTTTGGGGGGGAGGGGGTGTTTTTTTTTGTCTGGGACTGGACAACCATAGGAAACCCTCTGAAAAAGGCAATATGTGTCAAGACAAGGGGACCGCATAATTGTGGGGGTCCTTTGATTCCCCCCCTTGAAACCAAACCTGAATATGTATATACACTAACAGCCACTCGCAGAACACGTGTTCCCCGCCTCTTCAAGAAGGGCCCCTACGTTCTCACAAAAATAGGACGCAGAACCATTGACCAAGATCTGCATCTGGGGGCCTCAACCCCGAGCGCAAGGCAATGTTGGTTTGGATCAGCCGTCAGGTAAAGCAGGTGAGGTGAGATTTGTCAGGATTCCAGTCTTTCAGGGGACCCACGTCCATTCCTACAATCGGCCATAAATGTCCAATGCCAGATGTCCCGACTGCTCCGACCTTTGCATCCGTACATCTCAACCATCCAGCCCCAGCGAATCCCAACTGTGCTAGCAAAACCACAAAGTCTGAGATCATGAAAGTAGCAAAGAGACAATCGCAGACTGCACCAATCGAAAAGCGTTGCAAAGCCCGTCAAAGCAGGTAGTGTGGCCGCCCGGATTGGTCGGGCACACTAACCTCTTCTGAGTTTTGTTTGTCCGAGTCCCGCCGCGGTCTTCTCAAATTCGCGGCTCATCTTGGATGGGGTCCCGAATTTCTAAGAGAACGCGCAAGAAAGGTCACGATGACTTCGCCCAACATGTGCAACTTGGCTGGGAAGTTGCCCCCAAATTATGCCAAATTTGGCCTCCACTGGCGCGGGCGATCCCCTGAGACACACGTGTCATTTTAGAGGCCTTTGGATTTTCCCTGGACCGGGTACATCATTTCTTTCACCAGCGTACGCCAGCTCAACGATCTAACATAGTGTCCATCCCCAAACCAATTTCAGGGGCTTAATGGGATATTAACAGCCACTATATGGACACTATATGAAGGACTGTGAAGTGTTTATTCCCTGACTTCCGGAGGGAGTCGCCCGACCCGCCCTTTCCCGGCCTACATCTATGAAGAGGCACTTGCCGCCGTGTGGTTTGGCCATGGTCCGCATGATGTGCATGAGAGTGTCCACATCCCAGAAGCTGCCATGCTGGAAGACAGACCGCCTGCAAGCACAACTTGGGAGATGTTGCTCGCCCCGAGCACCTCGTGCTGAAATATTGATGGTGTATAAATGTGAAACTACAGTGCAACCATGCAGCTCTGCGGCATATCTCCAATTCCCCTTTTGTCCCTTCCCTCATCCCAAATGAGTGTGTTGCGGCGGTCTCCACAACCAAACGTTTTGTATGACATTCAGAGAAGCCATCGGAAGCATCTGACAAGGCCCCCCTCCCTCCCCCCACTTGGAGACACCTTCAACTCATCCGGTGGGCTTCCGGCCGACTCCCAAGTCTCCGGCCGACTCCGGGCCGGATGCGAAAGAACCCTACGAGTCTCCGGATTTCTCCTAGCAACTTGGGGAAAAGGTTCTATCTTGATGGATCAATCATCCAATGCTTATAGTTGGCCCACGGAGAGATCCAGAATTAGGGGATATGTTTGGTACCCCTTGCACAGGTTTGATCCAATTTTGACCCCGCCCCAATTTTGATCCCAGGTTTGATCCCATATTTGTTGACCCAATGCTGTCGTCTCCCAAAAAATTCTGACCTCTCCCTGCTGAAGCCGCCAGCAACGAGCCAGCAAAAACCCTCAGTCGAGCCACTCCCAGCCCTGGCCGGAGCTCTTGGCGCAGTAGCGGCAGCTGTGCCAGGTCTGCATGCGCACCTTGGGATTCGATTAGGTGTGAGAATGGCGCAACCAGTGACCTCGGGCAGAAAACGGGCCATGGTGATGAGTGACCCAACCCGGTAGGAATATGGGGCCATTTCCCTTCTTTGTTTGGAAGGCTCAAACAAAAAGGACAAACAGATTTTGAACCGTTGACAACAGCCGCGAAAGTTCGTCAAAACAGGCGAGACAAAGGAAAGGCGAAGGTCTATTTTGTGTAAACACGGGCTGCAAGGGGCGGGCAATGTTTCCAAGAAAAAAGGAAAGGCGAAGCTCCAGTTTTCCAAACTGCCGGGAGGGGCCCGAAGCTCCAAAGTTTGAGCAACCGCAATTGATCAGTTCCTGCTATTTCCTCCCATCTATCCCCTGCGCCCTACACACTAGGATTGTTAGATTCCCTACTTGTTGCCAAACAAAAACAATACGAAAGGGTACAAACCAACAAGCATACATCCTGACACACACACACACTTGAAGAGCGAAGTTCACCCGCAGGCAAATCATACTCGACACGAATGCGGACATGCAAAATTCAATAATGCAAACAACGGAGAACCAACACGACAAACCCAACAACAAGTCAAAGGGTGCATCAGGAAATCAAAAGGTGCGTCTGGCGGGCCAAGCCGCCTGCATTGAAAGGATGCTCGTGCGTGATCTAGAACGGTGCGCGCACACACACACACACACGAAGGCCCGATTTTTTGCTCGCGCCGTGCTGCTAGTGATCTTCTAACCACGCGTGCTGAAATAAGATTAGGAAACACAGTGGCATACGGCATACACATGAACTTAAAACACCTTGCAGCAAGAGGTTGGAACTCGATGCAGGTGGCTGAAAACATGCGGTCCGAGAAGCAGCCCCAAGCGTTCCCACGGCAACTAGCCACACACGACACAAAAGTCCAATATGGCGACTGGGCGACGCAAAACCTACAGCCACCCCACCCACAAGCAACGGTCAAGGAAAACAACAACCGCCACTCCCCGCCCTCAGCTGCAACGAAGTAGCGACCGGGAACAAACCAACGACGAGAACAAAACGCTGCAAAGTCCCAAGCTGCGCAAACAACCAGACGATGCAAAGCCAACACGCCGCAAAATAAACCAACAACAAGCAACAGACAAGGAAAACAACAACCACGTCCGGCCCGCAGCTGCAGCAACGCCAGAGCACCGGGAAAAAAACAGCATACAAATGCAGCGTGCGCGCATCACGCAAGGTCAAGACACACACCCACCTGGGGCCTGAAGTTTCTGCCTTGCAAAGGCATGTCCACTGGTATCACGTTCCTGTGAGATTGTCTACAGCTCATCCGCGCCGGGTGCTTCCATGAAACGTGAACGAACAACTAGGCAAGTTGCGCTCTGGTGTCCCTTGCGCAAAGTAACTATTTGACACCTTCGTGGCACCTTGACGGTTCAAAGCAGGTGCGAGCAGTGAGCAAGCGCAGGCTCAACCTGTAACCTGTGCCTGTGGGCACGAACAGTTCATGAAACCTGGCAGTGCTGCCTTGCACAGAAAAGGCTTCAGTTGAATGGACAGCTTGAATTTTGGGGTCATTCGCTTGGAGGGGGCCCCCGCATATCGCGAGCCCGCCATGGCGCCATGTCGGACGAGCCGTGGGACACACACTTGAAGGGCGAAGCTCACTCGCAGGCAAATCATACTCGAAACGAATGCAGAAATGCAAAATTCAAACATGGAAGCAACGGAAAACCAACATGACAAACCCAGCAACAGGTCAAACGGATAGCGGGCCAAGCGAATATCCCGCTTCACTGCTAGCTTTGTTGAACATAGCCCCAGTCCCACTGTGTCTCCCTGCATTGAACGGATTCTCGTGCGTGACCAAGCATGGTGCACACACACGCGTACACATACACACAGAAACACAGGCACACGCACACACACACACACACGCACAAACACACGCACACATTCACAAAGGCACACAAACACAAACACACACACATACACACACACACACACCTTCTCAAACACAAGCACACGCACACAAATTCATAAGCACACGCGCACACGCACACAAACAAAAACACAAACACAAACACACGCAAACCCAAACAAACACCAACACACAAACACCCCGACATACACACACAAAGAGAAACACAAACACAAACGCAAACACGCACACACACACACACACACACACACACACACACAGACACACGTACGCACGCACACAAGCGCGCACAGACACCGAACACACACACACACACAGACACAAACACTAGCACACACGCATCCACAAACACAAACACAAAACCAAGCACACACACACACAAACACAAACACAAACCCAGGCACACACACACACACACACGAACGCACACACGCACACGCACACGAGCACAGGCACAAACACAAACACACGTAAACCCAACCAACCACACACGCACACACACACACACACCCACACTCACAAACACAAACCCACAAACACACCAACACACACACACAGAAACAAAAACACACGCGCACGCACGCACGCACGCACGCACGCACGCACGCACGCACGCACGCACGCACGCACGCACGCACGCACGCACGCACGCACGCACGCACGCACGCACGCACCCACACACACACACACCAACAAAAAACGCAGGCGCACGCGCCCACCCACACACACACACACATAGGCACACACACACACACACGCACGCACGCACGCAAGCACGCATGAATGCACGCAGGCACTGTGTCTCTCTGTCTCTGTGTATCTCTGTCTCTGTCTCTCTCTCTCTCTCTCTCTGTGCCCCTCCGTCTCTGTCTCTGTCAAAGCTGATCCGATCCCATTCCTTTTTGTTCACCAACTCCTGGGCCGCCCCGCTGCCAGCGTACCAGCACCAAAGTTTTTGCTGCAGGTGGTCCTGTGGAAGAACCGGAGCTGCAGCGCAGACAGCCCCTCCAGCAGGCGCCAGGGGGAAGTTGTGCTCGCCAGCAGACCCGCCAGGATTCCCAGGTCCTGCACTGAAAGAACTCAGCTTCTTGAGATCCCTTTCAAACTCAGCTGAGCTTTTTGTCAGTAATTTCCCGAATTCACCTTGTAAATGCAAACAGTAGCGACTGGTGTACCATCACTTCCCTGAAGGCCCGGCTGGAAGATTCCGGTCAAGGACCCAATTTTTCAGGGGTCCAATGTGTTCAGTCTACAGCCTGCTTGGGGCCTCCCAAAAGAGAAACCGACCCACCACTGCTCAAACCCCACCCAAACGAAAGAAGAGAAGGCCGAGGCTCGGGAGCTTCCCATAAGGAAACAGGATAGATTTGAGGTCTCCGATCTCAGGAAACTTGCAAGCTGTTTCGGGTGCCAGCACTAAGACTACATATTTGCCAGTCACGACCATTTTGCTCAGGGAAAACCTGACAAGTCGCTTTCAGCTAATGGATTCAACCAGGCTTTCTGAAACAAAACAGACTGGACTCTAGGCTGTTGGCTCCTGGCAATGATTTGGTGGCTGGGGAGTTGATCCCTTTGCCCCCAAATCTTAGCTGCTGAGAGTCTGGAAAGAGCTAGATGCCAACGTCTCAGCTGATCAATTTGTTGTCCCAAACGATCAAAAAAGGCCTTTGGTTGGAAACAAAGGGCATGGTGGTCTACTCTTCCAGGGAAACCCGCTCCCCAACATCTCCATTGCTGTCCGGCGCATGCTCGCCGTTGCCCCCCCCGATGCTCTTGGGCGCCAGGAAGGCCGCGTCCCAGAGGATCCTCTCCTGAACCATTCTGCGGATGGTTGCGACATCCATTTCGCACCTAAGAACGCCCATGAGGATTCCCCGGTTTTTCATCCAACAGGCTTCCCATAGTTTCAGAGTGGTGCGATTTCGTGCATCCACAGCAAGGGGGGGTTATATCTCCAACACCCTGAATCAGTTGGATCCAAGGAAGAAAAAAAACGCTGTTCCTATCCCCAAAATAGGTAGAACCCGGTTTAACATGGCGCAAAAGGGGAGGCGCACACCACCTGAGCTCTTGGGACTGCTTAACCACCCCCCCAACCACCTCAACATGCAAAGCCTATATATCGCCCTTATCACCGTGAAACCCGCGGAAAACCACCCACTAATCCAGTCCCCTTTCTTGGTGGGTTTGGGAGATCCCCACAAGGTGATGCCTGCCAAACGTGATGCAGCTTGCCCCGCCGAACAGTGCGCACAGTCGTTCTGACCCTCTTTACTGGACAATTGGCAGGTTCGGGTTGGACTTGGGCTTGCCAATACTTGATATAGCGTTGCGAATACTGCATTTAGTACTGCCAAGACATAGTCTTTGGATTTCCAGTATTGAACATAACATTTAGTATTGGCAGCATTAAGTTTAGTCTTGGTTGCATTCACATTTAGTACTCGGATTTTCTTTAGACAAATTAACTTTTGCCACGGCGGACCCCAAACAATCACAGGATCCTCAATCAGGATACACTCTCTAGCGAAAGCGGGCGTTTATTGTTGCAGGGAGCCTTCGAACTTGTTCGTTACCCCAAACTGCTTCCCCCCCAAGCACCTTGCCATCAATCTCGCAAAAATGCGCCCGCACCGTCAGCAGCACCTCCAACAACATCAACAGCACCCAAAACAGCACCTGCCAAACAGCACCCGTGCTCCAATCTCGCAAACATGCGCCCGCACCGTCACCAGCACCTCAAACAGCACCTGCACCAGCACCTGCACCAGCACCCCAAACTTCAGCATCCCCCCTAGCACCCGTTTATCCATCTCGCAAAAATACGTCCGCACCATCGCCAGCGCCCCAAAACAGCACATGCACCGGCACCCCAAGTTGCATGCCCCCTGGCACCCAGCCGTCAATCTTGCAAATCATGTTCCCCTCTTTACCAGAAGTCAGAACCCCTTTAGCTTTCTGCAATCTGGGGAAAAACTAAAATCAAATGCAAAGAAGCAAACCCCTTTTTGTGTTAGAAAGGGAGGCTACATGAGCTGCCGGCCATGACGTCCTGCGACCCTAAACGGCGTAACAGCGAAATCTGCGACCTAAAACTGTCTCAGCGGCCCCCTGGCTGAGCTCTACGAGAGGCCCACAAAGCACCAAACTGCACACCAAATTGATTGCGTCCGCTGCGCAAGGGAACACCTGCTCGACCCGATCCAGCACCATGTAATTGCGTCTACCGCCGCGTGTAAAAGCTAGCAAAATATGTGGGGCACCACACGCCGCGTCATCTGCGACCCTAAAAGCCACGCCATCTGCGAATCCAAAGTTCGGGGATTTGAGGGTCACAAACAACACGCAACGTTTTAGGGCCAGAAATGAGGAGCGCTGTCGAGTCAAACAGCTCCTGACACAAACTACCCTGAAGCGATGAACTCTACAAAAAGACCTCAAGAGGGAATCTTCCTTGAAAAATAACTGTTACTGGGGCTGGTAAGGGAAGGGTGCGGAAACATGTCCAACCCCAAGTTGGCTCCCCTTCGGGCAAACCATGCGCTACTTAGCACCTTGTCAGTCATTTTCCTCAGAAGCCAAAGAAAACAGACACCTGCGTTTTCGTTCAATTTCAAAGGGAAGCCAGAAAACCACACCGAACCAACGCATCTGACCCCTCCGAGCCGCTAACTCCCCGAGCAAGAGCTGCGCTTGGAAGCCCACGCCTGCCGCTGGAATCCGCGCGCGGGCATCCCTTCGTGCAGTCTTCCAAGGCGAGGTTCGGGGCTCCATGGGAACTGTGCGCTGGGTGATTTCCCCAGGTGTCCCGTTCCCTTTCGGTTCTGCTTCAGAAATCAAAAATCATGATAGACCGCAAAGGGAATGGCGAGCGGGGGCCGTTGAATCTAGAGCCAGCGCGTAGGAATTAACTGTTAGCTGTCACTTGGTTTTCTGGTACATCCCTCCTGCTCGCTTCCTCCTTTCAAGATTCACTTGTTGGCATGTCTAGTCTCTCATTCCATCTCTCTCTCTCTCTCAATCACAAATCTAATCTTCAATGCGGAATGATATTAAAAAGCTAGACAAGGAAACAAATCATGGCAATGACAAAAAAAAAAAAACGAGCCGATAGAACGGTATCTCTCACGTAATAATGTCCTTTACCTGCATGTATATGTAAACTTGTCATGTCTCTCCAAAACTACTCCTTGAAATTTTATGAGTCTTCTCTGGAATGCTCTTCCCTATCTCCATGTCTCACGTCTCCCCAAGAAAACGTGCTCGCCTTCATCTTAAAGGGAAAGCAAAAAGGACATATGGGCATGATCGGACACCGTGGGTGTCCGAAAATGGGGGAGCATCCCTCAAAGCGTCGTTACTTGGGTTTTGGCTCTTAAACACATTTAAAAATCCCAACGTCAAGTTCAAACCATTGAGCTGGTCGTCTCACTTCCTGAGCGGATTGGCCACAAGTCAGCTCCAAACTTGTTGCCCACCAATCTTGCCACTAAAACAGCAAGTCCAGGAACCCGTGAGCTGGCCAAAAAAGTCCAAACCTTTTGTTTACCATTCAACGGTCTTCCCAAAAAGTCCAGGAACCAGGGGGGTGAGCTGTTACACCGATCATCCAAACCCTTTGTTCACCCTTCAATTGGTCTTCCCCAAAAAGTCCAGGAACCCAAGGAGCCAGTTGTTCTGTCCTCAAAACCCTTTGACCTACCCCCCCCCCCCCCGCCTCCTGCCGTCTCCTCCTCCTCTGCCGCCTCCCAGGCCGCGAGCAGCGCCGCGAAGGCCGCGCCCAGCGGGGGCCACGGGGAGACCCAGGGCTCCGCGTCCGGGGCCCAGGCGCGCCAGAGCCGCACCGCGCGGGCGCGGGCCTCTGACGGAGGTTTCGAGGGTTCCAGGGTACCCCGTCTTTGGGCTATGGCTGGAACATGGCAGTTGTGTGCTTTTTTTTTGGGGGGGGCAGGGGGTCCACATCCTGATTTTGAGATGCTACATCTTGGTGTTCGACTTGGTGGTGGTGGAACAAAGGGTTTCCCCTCTTGTTGTGTTTTTGGGGGGAGGTCCACATCCTGATTTAAGACGTTCACAGCTTGGACGTGTGACCTGGCTGTTCTGTTCCATTTACGGGAGTCCCACAGGGATCCCTGTATTTGCCCTCAATACATCTACCACCTTCGGACCTTGGACCAAAGACGATGGAAAAAACAACTGCAATGATTCAGAGACACAACAAGAGGAGCTGGGACCTTCAAAAGCCCCTAGTCCTCAATGTCGATCCAAAGTCGAAGCAATCGAATCACCGGGGACACCGAAACCGCTGAGAGGATGGATTTGGAACCCCTGAAAGTTCCTGCCAACGGCGCAAATACGTCACTAGTTGGAGGGCTGTGTTTTCTGGTAGTTCCCCCCCCAGACCTTGAAGCTTCTTTTGCTTTTTTGGGGCTTCATGAATCCTAGATCAAGTTGCCAAGTCCAATTTGTGGCTTTAGGAGTGCGCAAGCAAGCATGAAGTGGTGCAGGAGTTTGTCCTTAAACAGTATGAACATGCCCCGCACTTGGATCTGGAGCTTTAACTGGGAGGCCACTATGTCCATGGCCGAAACACCCCGGCCCTACCTTCACCCTAGGTTTTGGCTTCACCATGGGCTCGCCTCCGGGGTGATGGCCTCGAAGCCGGCGGTGCTCGTGACCCGCCGCGAGATGGCCTTCAGCTCCGCCAGGTCCCGCTCCTGCGCCGTGCCTGGCGCAAGCGAAGCCAGGAGTCTCCGTTTGCAGGTGACTGGGGCCTTGTGGGGAGCTGGAAAAATGGATGCGGGGGAAGGCGGTGGTAAAAAAAAGTGATCGGTGGGTTGTTTGTTTGATTGCTTGTTTGATTCCTCAAAACGGTTATTCCACACTCGAGCAAAGGGCCCGGTGTTTGAGTGCAGGGAGTTTTGACTGCGCTGGCTCGCACTGCGCTGGCTTGCTCATTCGCTCGTTGGTCGATCGTCAACATCAAAAGCCCTGCAAATGTTGCAATCGCGATTGCACATGGATGTAAACCTCATTCGAAGTCGCAATGCAAAGCCCCAGTTGGCTTTTCGCGTATGATGGTCAGACCCCAATGCCAGCCCAAAGAAAGGCTTCAAAGGTTGCTAAAGGCCATCCTAAAGCAACAAGGGCCCTGCCGCCCATTGGGCACCAGCTCAAGTGAACAGGCTTGGGGTTCCAAGACCAGAGTCTCCAAAACCAACTGTTCTACCAGGCTGGAGATCATTGGTCTCCAAAACCACTGGCCACCTCAACTGCCTGCAACTGTCCCACCATCCTGTTTGAACAAACTCTGCTGGTGAGTGCAACCTTTCGGACCTAAGGAAAGCGGCTCCATCGGGATCATTTCTCGATTGTAGACTGAAAGCTGAAAGAAGCCATTGATTTTGAGGAGCCACTATTCTTGGATCTCAGACCCATCTTGGAGGGTCCTTAATGTCAGGAGCTGCGTATTACGACTTCCTGGACAAAGCCATCTGCTTGCCACGTCCCAGCCTGGGTTTGTTGGCTCATCCGTCCGTCGACCGCCCAAGTAGCGGAGAAGCTCGAAAATCGGCCTCGTCAGCCCGTGAGCAAAATACGACTCTGCGCGAATTCCCTTCCCAATATGGAAGCTGACGATCGGCCGCAATGTGCGGCTGGGGCACTTAGTTCCCGGTCCTCCCACTGGGAGCGTACCTGAAAGATCAATTTCCAGAAGGGACCCCTGTCAGGTGCCATGTTGGTGAGAGCTGGTACCAGTGTTGGGTAAAATTTGTTCTAGCAACCCTACCCTGGCCACGTTTAAAGGGAAGCCAAAAGGAGGCAGCTTAAACCATTGGTGATTGAACACTCACTTCCTGAGTGGGCTGGCCAAAACAGTCCGAGCTTTGTCTTGAAACTTGTCTTCCTAAGTGAAAGAAGTTCAGGAACTCAGAGGGCGAGCACATGTAAGCAGGGGGTTGGCCATGTTCCACCAAAATTCAATTGTTTCCACCCCTGGTTTCAAAGAGTTTCGTGGTTTAAGCCCCAATCTTATGGGCTCACGACAACCCCCAATATAGTACAGTACCCTTCGCCGCTTCTCATCGACTCTCGCCGCTCCCAAATGTCGATCTGCGAGCGGCCAATTGCAGTCCAGGAGTGCCAGCAGCTGAAAGGGCGTCGGCAGCTGGCGGTGGCTCCGCATATGCGTCAAGTCGCCTGCGTGAAATGAAATGCAAGCACCGTGGGTGTTTGCGTTGCAAATCAACTAAACAGCACAGACCATCCATGTATTTGTCAAATTTTGCAGGTCTAATATTTGTTGTGAAATGTTGTGAATGGTGTACCTTTTTGTGGCATGGCGCCATTTTCAAGTTGGTTTTCTAGGCAAACCAAAAGCAAAAAACTTCGGGGAACTGAAGGGTAGCACGAAGCCACAAGGGGATGGCTTGGGGCATTCCCTCATTTTTTGCGGAGAACCAGCCAGATTGGTATGCGTCAAAATCGGGAACCCCCCGGTGTCAAGTGATTTATGGCGGACACTGGACGCTCTGCCGTGGACGTCCTTTACAAGGAGGATCTAATTGTGCAACCACAAGTTGAGGAAGACCAATTGGTTGAGGCTAGTCCCAGAAAGGTCAAAAACACCCACTGTCACTTTCAGGTCACAGGCCTGAGGTCCGTCCCTATTGTCACACCATGTCTAAATGGGTACGTGTCAAGATAGGTGGACGCCAAAAAGGCGGTTTTCCTTTGTGTTCCCATTAAAAGAAGAAAAACCAAAAAGAAGCCACACCCAAGTGATCCGTGATTCCCCATCCTAAAATAAGCAGAAAGCAACCTAAGAAACGAACCTTCCTCATGGGTGACGGTCGGAAACACAGGCCCCTTCTAATGTCGCGACTCAATTTGCCCAAGCATCACCTTTCAGTTTTTGGTGGAACCCCCTTGAGAGATCCATACGGGTGACTCGTCAACTTTATGACAATATGAGGCTGCCGAGATCATCTAGGCAAACTACTGTACTTCCCGATCTGAAATGAGGGACCCGCAGGAAAAGGATTCTTGGGCTCTCCGTCGTTTTCGCCGGAGTGAGCTCATATAAATTGTCCCAAAAGGTCATTGAGGGACCAAACAAATCGTTGGTTCCTTTTAATTTGCCTTCGTTTTAGACCAACCCAAATCTGACCTGTTTTGTAGGGGCTTCCTAACATAGGCAAAAATTATGTTTGGATGATTTTGAAAGGGGACCTAAAAGGAAGGCACTCATTTTTAGAATCTCTTATTTCTGCTAGGTGAAGGGTCCTTGAGGGACTTCTTGCCCCCTTTAGCAGGGCTTCTTCCATTTCCTTTTCTGGAACCTTCAGTCCGCCTACTGTTTGCGGGAAGCTTAGTGATTCCCTCATGTCCCTCCAAAACGGCCTATCAAAAATCCAGATATTTTGACCAAACCTCATTTTGGGTGATTCTCGAAAGTCCCCTAAAGTCCCTAAAAGGGCCCGCTTTCCTTTTGGCAACCAAACAACCTGAGAAACCTTACTGGGGGCCCCCATTTTATGGGTCCTTTTTTGTTTTGGCGTCCCTTGAAGCACCAACAAGACGTCCGCCAACCCTCACTGGGGCCCGGTCTCAGGGAGACCGCCACGCGCTGCAGCGGGCCCTTCAGCAGCACACTGAGACCCGCCAGTGCCACTTTGGACTGCCGGGCGCTGTATAAGGTCTCCAGCCCCTGGCGCTCGCGGCTCCCGGTCATGCCCCCAGTTCTTAGTCTGGCGCCATGTAAAATGTGAACATCTTGGGTTCTCAAAATTGCGATGGGCAGAGGCGATGTCCAAATCGATAAGAAAATTGGGAGCCCTGCTGGAAGCGCCGTGAAGTCAAGGGCACCCGGTTTGTTTTTTTTGATTCTCAACTTGTCTGTCCCGGACACCAGGAGCAAAATGGAGGTCAGCTTGGGGTTGGACAACAGAGCCCCCTCTGACCCAAGCACACTGATCGAAACTCCGAAACAAACCCAAAAGAAAGTCATCCCGGTTTTGAAGGACTCTCATATGCGAGGGAAATTACGTTCAGAGGTGATCATTTATTAGGGAATTCTCCCAAAAGCGAGACGTTCTCAAAAAATGCGATTGTTTTGCTCATTGAAACCAACAGTGGGTTCCCCCCCAAAAAGAAGACGACCCATCCACCGTCTTTGGGGCGGTGGATTTTTTTCTCCGCAAGGCCTCCAGGAAGAGCCTGGCCATAGGGCAGTGCTCCAAATCCTTGTCCGTGATCTCCACGCTCGCAGTCTCCACCTAGCTAAAACCCCCACGGACTCGAAACCAAACTCAGCCGTGGTGGCCCACCGATCGTTTCAAGGCTTGGCACGTAGGGAAGAAACCGATCAGCTTTCAACTCAAAAAACAATGAAGTCGAGGGTGAAAGATCCAAACAGCCAAGTCTTGTGAATGGAAGACCATTCTGGAAGGGACATGGAGCGAAGCCTCTCCCAGTTCCCCCCGCCCCACCCCACGGAGAAAAAAGACAAAAACTCCAAACCGGTCTCCGGTCTCCGGTCTCCGGGACCCCGCGCCCCAGAGAAGGTGCCCGCAGCGAAGCTCAGGCCGCGGTCATGGGCCACCTGAAACCCACGCCCGATGGGCCAAGTGGCGGAACCGTTTCAGCCACGGCCAAGCTTGGGTTTTTTTGGGGAAAATATGCTTTGGGGGTAGTGACCTTGGTGAAAAAGATTCTGGAGTTTCTTTCTGGTCCTGGAGGCTTTTTCTTAAGACGTCATATCCCAAGCAGAACTTGAGTTGCGACCAAAGTGCCACGTTTCTGGCTTTCACGTGCTGGCCCCTTCTGTTTGGTGGGTCAGTTGGGGCTGCCTTCATGGGTCGGTTGAGCAAGACTTCGTGCCAGGAAACTGGACACGGCTTTCCCTTGGGGTTCCCTCCAGGTTCGCGAAAAAGCTTGGCTTCCTCTGCTGGACACCTAACAAGCACGGGATGTGCGGTTGCCCCTCGTCTGCAAAACCGAAACCCTTCAGAACCGAAACCTAACCGGAATCCACCCAGACTTCCACCACTTTTCGGCCCTCCCCTCCCCACCTCCCTCCCCATCTCCCTCCCCACCCCCTCCTCCCTCCCCCCCCCCCCCCCACCCCCCGCACCCTTCCATCCGCGGCGCCAGCAAAGTCACCCGCAGCCGGTGCAGCGCCAACTTGGGCGACCCCGTGCAGGCCAGCCAGTGGGCCTCTGAGGCCCGCGCCCATTCCCAGACCTCGCGGACAAAAAGCCGGTGGAAGGGTCGCCAGTTGAAACCCTGCGCTTTGCAACCAGGCGCCAAACCACCAAGAAAACAGATGAAACATGACTTGGCCAACAAATGGTGGGGGTTGATTCCAACACTCCAAGCCAGCTTGAGTGAAAACCAGGCCATTCAAACATGAGTCATGTCCATTTGTTACTAAATCAGAAGTGCAAACTTGGAAAACACGGAGAATCAGAGAATGTCCTTAAGCAAGACAACTCCCATGAATCAACGTTTGATCCTTTGGTGTTGCTCCTGACAAGGTGACTTGTCCTTTGGTTTCACTTCGAAACTGGGGCGTCCCCGAATTGACAGGTGCCTTGTGACTCGTGTAAAGAACGGGAAACCGGTTGACCATTGTTTGTGCGCAACCCACCAAACAAACAGGGAAAATCAGGCGGATGTGCGTTGGTTTCACTTGAAAATGGGTGAAGCTCCTTCGGTTTCACCTCAAAATGTCCGATGCTCCCCTTTGGGGATGGGCCCATTTTTTGAAAGGAACCCCTTTTCGGTTGATTTCAAAGGCAAACCAAAGGACACCAAGCAACATGGGGGTCAAGTTTAAGATATAGCCGGAGGTGGCGTTGCACAAAATCCCAGGACTAGATACACTTCCCAACCCAAGTGGCGAAAGCCCAGATCTGCAAGGCTCCCGGGCTCACTACTGCAAGTAAAAAAACATCATTCGGCCAAAGGAGTGGAACTACCCGTTGCAACGCAAAACAAACGAAGAAAAAGGAACTTGCACAAAGAGAACTGCCAAACAATGCCAAAACGAATACAGCAGCAAGACTACTCAAACAAGGAAGTAAGCGGTGAACCAACAACATTGAAAGGCAGAATGAAACAAATCAACAACCACCGTAGGTAAAGAATGCAAGCAACGATGCACAGAAGCCGGAACACGTGCCTCAGCATGCAGAGACTTCTGCCAAAGTGGGCGCAGCCTCGCTTCGCCTAGGACCATACGAGTCTTCTGCCAGCCCCACATTTTTCAACATCTAACATGAAAACCAGCAAATCGGCGTTGACACACGATTCACTAACTGGAGTTACGGCATCCGGAACCTGCACCAGTGCTTGGTTTTGCCTGGTTTTGACCACCCCCCCCTCTCCCCCTAAGGAGTAATCAAACGCGTCCTGGTCTAACCGGAGGCAACATAGGCTTAAGTAGAAAAGTGTGGGAAAAAACAAAACAAAACAAAAACGACAAAGTGAAAAAGTAGGAGAAAAGTAGGAAAAAAAAGAAAATGAAAAAGTGAGGAAAGTTGGAAACGTGGGAAGGTGATAAAATTGAGAAAGTAGAAACAAAGAAATGAAATTCAAATTAGAACGAACAAGTTGAAAAGTGGATTTTTGACTTTTTGACTTCCCCTATTTGTTTTGTTGACTTTTTCCACTTTCGACTTTTCCACTCTTCCCACTCTTCGACTCTTCGCGTTCGCCTCCGCTACCACAAACCGCGCGTGCACAGCCGCCCCCCCCCCCCCCCGGAATAACGCGTAATTGTCATGCGACCGGGCTCCGTTTGGGTGAAGCTTTGAGCTTTCCGCGTTCAATAGACTCCTGGTACTAGTACATAATCACAACCCTCCGGAAAACCACAAGTTCTTGTCCATCTCCAGTCCATATTGCTGTGGATTTGACCCTTTGGTGGACATTATCTGCGGGCTTTCAAGGGGCTGCCCCATTGAATTCCATAGCCACAAAATGAGGGGCTGGATGGATACACACCTTCTCCTATGATGGGGCAACTTGGTTTCATGACACTCCACAACCCCAGTCTCGTTATTCGGGCCGTGAGTGGGTGGCAAAACGATCCATTCCTCTGAACAAACTGGCCTTGTGAAACCCTTGACAGATTGTCGGAAAATAGTGGACCCTCTCGTTGAATGCTGTGTTCGGCAAACAGGAAACCGCTCTTTTACAGGGGTCTTCTTGATTTTAAGACACATATGCGCGCGCACACACACACACACAAAAACAACAAGAAGCTATCCCTCCCCATTTCAGGAGATGCTGTACATGGCTCCTATCCCCAACCCCAAACCCACCCAAACCTTCCAAGGCGCACAGGCACGCCAGGCATAGGCACGCCCACACCCATGTCCAGGCCATGGCAAACCATGGCCCATCAGCGGAGGGGATGTTTGGGGCTTGGGGCGCGCTGGCTTGGTCAGGGCTTGCTGGGACGCAGGGGGCGCTTTTTGTGTGTTTCGTTCGGCAATCGAAACACCTGGTTCAAGAAAACGTAAACACCAGCCATGGGGCTTCCACTCCATGCTGTTGGGTGGGTTTCCCAATTTTTGAGACAGGCGTAGGTCTTGAAATGGCGACCCCCCAAGCTACGTTTCTTAACCAAATGCTAGTTGGCATGAGTTTGTCTTTTTTGAGGCACCCTTCTTGGGGTTGGTGGAAGGACATTAAAAGGACACCAACAATTGTTCCCCCATTTTGAGACAAACCGGTTTTTGAAGCAAGTACCTACTGCTCTGTTTCGCTTTCGGATGTGGGGAGCTGACATGACCCCTTCCAAGGCGGACCGCACAAAGTCACGAAGTCTCAAAACGAGGCCCTATCTCTATCTCATAAGTCATAGGTGCTTCCTCAGCCGCATAAATGTTTGCAAGCCAAAGCGGCTACGCCACACATGAAAAGTGCGTCCAGCTCGAAAGCAAGGAATCCTTCCACCGACTTCGGGGAGGGTCACCTTCCAGAGTTTCTCGCTAGCGGTCTGGTGGTTCTCTGCATGTCGGTCATGGCCAAAAGGGGAAGCTTCAACATAGCGAAGGGAAGTGCACTCATAGGATGTCAGTGGTCAGTGGTTGGCCCCATTCGCCATGCGCGCCAGTTGTTGTTTGTGTTCGAATCCGGGTCCGGCCCTCCACCCTCACAACCTGGCAACTGGTGCCGTGGAAACGTAAATTGAACCCGAAAGAAGAAAATCTAACACAAACTCAAGACAGGCAGACGTTAAAAAAAAAGCTCAAGCAACATGGGGTTGTGGATTCGGTACCTTAACACCAAACTACCGTGTATAATGATTTACTTCTTTCAAACAAGTCTTTCACGCCCTCCTCCCGCTCGACGGAGCCGCCGAGCTCGCGGCATCCAACAGCCCCAAGATCCTGCAGGAACGATCCATAAAAACGCCGATGCGATAACGGTTCGGCCAGCCACCACGAATTTGTTGGGGCATGCTTTTGGTTTCCTGAAACCTCAGCCCACAAAGCTCCTCCCTGTGAGTTTCGCCGGACAGGTGATGTTGACATGGATTTACGAGCACCCTGGTCGGAACCTCCTCCTTTTCCAGGCGCAAAAGGATGCGCGGAACCCATGTGGCCAAGAAAGGCCCTAAAACCTTCAGCTCGATTCACTCGGGGAGCTTCACTGAGCAAGCATGCCATGCCGGCGTATTGAACGAGGCCCCCCCCCCTAAAAGGAAGAATCAGCACAAAGGCAAGTCCCCCGTTGCGCCATGACCCACCGCTGCCTTTGGTTGGCCGTTGCCTTAGGCTGGCCAACAGCTTAGGCCTTCGTGTCTCCAGGAAAGCTGGGCAGCGCACGGTCGGTTCCAGCGGTATGTTTGCTTGTTGCAGCGCACGTGAGGGTTTCTTAGATTTTCCCAAACATCACGCTGCCAAAATGAAAGTCACTTCATAGTTGCCCAGGAGGTAGCTTTCAAATCATCCCGAAGACCTGACAATAGCTACAAAAGGACCTCTCATTTGAGGAAACTCCTCCAAGGGCGGTGAATCCTCCTCTCCTCCTCATTTCGTTTGGGTTGGGACCATCCCACCATCTCCACCCCGCCATTCTTCCAAACCTGTATCTTTCTAAGGCAGCTCGGTTCCCGCCTGGCCGAGCGCACGAGCGAGGCCTCCTGCTGGAGCCCTTGCAGCGCCTGGATTTCCGAAGCCACCCATGCGTCATCGGCAACTGATGTTCTAAGCTGCAACCGACCTGTGACACAAGCAATTGCAACCACTGAAGAGGAACTTACGAATGGAAATACAGGAGGGTCTTTTGCTCCGAACTTTCGAAACACCGTCTGAAGCGACCCAAATGCAGCTTCAAGCAGGTCCTTGACAGTAAACAGTTTGAGAGGTCAACACAAGTTTGGTGGGTAGAAACCACCACCTACAATCCCGCTGATTGACCTGGAACTCACCAAACGCTTTTTCTAGGGGCAGCCCTGTTTGGGTGACGTGAATCTGCAGGGGAGTAGAGGGTCATTTTGGGATGTTGCTTCAATGGACTCAGTTCGATTAAGAGCCAATGAGGAATGAGAACAAATCAACATGCCGATGCCCAACTCGCAATGTTCCGTGGCACCCTGAAAATCCTTTTTGCAGTGCCGTGTGGAAAGCATCCAAGAAGAAGCCGGAATCAAGCCAAAAGGGCAAAAAGTGGGCAGTCTCAAGGGCAAAAAGGTGGGTAGTCTCTAGTGTCCCGTAAAATTGTGGACAGAAGAGTGAGCAAACATCCGCCATTATCCAGGCTGGAGCCTCGCAAGCAAGCACCAAAGTACTATGTATCATGCACAAAGCAGGGATACTTGCACTTCCTATTTGAAAAACATCACCCAGCCAAAGAAAACTGAATTTGCAGCGGAAAAGGAGTGATGTTTCTAGCCACCAAAAGCCAAATACAGTGCAGGGATCTTGCTAGGCCCTTGAAACCTAAAACTGGCCGCTGGCAACGTCCCCAGCCAGCCACCTGCTCGCCACGCCAAGCTGTGCTTTCTTCATACTTATGGAGTTAGGTTCCCTCGGTTTTCCGAAATGGTCAATCAATTCCGCTGCAAAATGTGAAAGCAAGTCAAACTTTTGTTGCTGGTCAGACGGGGCAGAACGACCACCAATTCTGCTGGTCGCTCAGATTCCAATGTCTCCATACAAATATGTGTTTCTAAAATATGTATATTAAATATATATATATATATATGTCTATATATATATATAGAGATGTGCAACATGACTGTAGGAGATGCGCCCGAGTGGCTTGTCAATTGCTGAGATGGGTGAAATTCAACCCAGTTGTCCCCGAAATCGCAGGTGCTTCTTTTGGTTTCCCTTCAACTATGCCAAAGGGGTCGCTGCTCGCTCCTCCGCCAGCACGGGGGCCAAATCGCAGCCGCTGACCAGTGCCCCCGGCAGCTGCCACGGCCTGGAAGCGTTCGTTTCCGTTTGGCGTCCCTTTAAAACCACTCCGAAACAGACACCATCAGACAGACGACACCCATGGACGATGGACACCTATATTCATGGTTGGTTGACATACACATCCGTACAAATGATGCCTAAGTGTATGGAATGTGCAGGGTGTGCATGGTTTTACGCATATGTCTTCCTGATTAGGTGATATTTGTTTGTTGATCTAAGAGTTGGTTGGTTCATGCAGATATATACTTGCAAAGTTTTCGGTTTTACTTCCTTGATGGTTCCGAATCAGTCGAAACATCACTATTTTGACGAGCATGATGTCTGCTCTTTGTTTTGCGGAAGAGAAGCCACACTCATTGACACACATGCTGCAAATATTACTTGTTTTTCATAGCAGTTTTGGAGATGTGACATTTGCGTTTCCCAAATGGTTCGAATAACATTGTTGAAGCAAACAAATGGCCCGTTTCAGGATGCTCCCTGCCTAGTGAAGACTGTGCCCAAGCAGAAGCCATACAGACCCTAGTATACATCTATACACATATATATATATATATAAACACGTATTAGTATACATATCTATATGTATGTGTCTTGTATAAGTTTCCAGAAAAATTAGGAATCCATGCCAATGCCCAATCTCCTTGAACCCCAAGGCCGACGGAATCTTGTTGCCGAAGTGCTCTTCATGGCTTTGGGGCGGGTTTCAAGCCTGCAGCCAGACATGCGTCGTTGAAAGCGCGGGCGCTCGATCGCTGGTGGCCACAAAGGGGCTCAAAACAACATGCCCTTTTGTATACGGAAGACATGATGTTCCGAAGATGCCCTTGCTGCGAACAACACGGAGCAAGATCCACAGAGCTTGTAGGAAACTGAGTTTCAGTGGTTGCATGCTTCAAGATCACGCAACTCTGGCCAAACGACCCAGCCATGTGCCTTAGCCTGCCCTTTACAAATCTGTGTTCATATTCATCATGGCATCATTGACAGGACCGCAAGTGACTGCACTTTAGATTGAAGGGGGTGACACGCAATGTCGCATGATCATTCCATTGGTTGAAATGGTCCAATTGGGTGTGTGAGTGTGGTTCTTAAAATTGTGGTCCCCGTAACACGAGTGGGTTCCTTTCGGCTTCCCTTTGAAACATCCGAAGCCCTATCACCTGGAATCCATTTGCGCACCTCACCGTTTGGAATCGACGCGCACCTCACCATTTGTGACGCGCACCATGTTCCTCTCCCTGAGTTTCCTCGAATTGGTGGTTAGCCCGGTTTGGAGATGTTCAAATCCCCGAGTCACCAATCCAAGCCATTTGTTACACTTGAGTTTGCCCTCACAAACGCTTTCCTGTGAACCGCGTTCCCAAAAAAATAGCAAACTAACTCAGAGCGTTCAAAGTGTTTGAATCCCACTGAAGAGTGAGGTACTTTTGGAAGCCCACTCAATATCCTTCCCTCTCATGAGCTCCTGTGTTGGTGAATGGGATGTAGCATAAGTAGCATGCATCACACACTTGATTGTCATGCCGCGCAGTCGGCTCAGGCTGAAACCCTTTATTTGAAGCACTTTAGTGGGGTCCCTGATTCGGAAATCAGGCCCACTCCCCTGATCAATCAGTTGGTTTTACCAACTGACTAGCGCGGTCCTCCCTGCCACAAAATCCAAAGTGTCCGTTCAGAACCACGAAAACTGGTCTCCCAAGGAACAGGGACACCCAAAGGAAAAACATCTAGTTTGGGGTTTCTTCAATTGAAACAACTAACACTTTCTCCACAAGAAGAGGTCCCTAGATTTCCCTTCTGAACATCAGCAAAAAGGAAATTAGCTGTACTTGGCCGTTCCAAAGGGTGATGTCTAAGATCACTATTTGGAGTGAGACATCGAGCTGGAACCTTCTTCTTGCGCCTCTCGGTGCCAGGCTGCAGCACAAGCTGCCCATCGCTGGTCTCCTGCGCTCCACGGAGGTTGTCGCTTTTCGAGGGAACCTTGTGCTTCTTGTGGCTTTAAAGAGAAACCAGAAGGAAGACCAAAGCCATTTTGGGGGGTGCCTTAGAAAAAAGACACACCCACATGTTTCACCTACTTGTTGAGATTGGTCCAACCAAACAATGATGCTGAACATCGCCTGAAAGGGTCATACTGGGATGTTCTACCTAATAAGTGCCAGAATCATGGTTGTCAATCAACCCCTGTTGCAACACTTATGGCCATTGGTCATAGCCTACTTTCTAGGCTGAACATCCGAGCATGTTGCCTTCAATCCATTTTGAGTAGCATGTTTTGGACAGATCTTAAATGAGTTGCCTTGAGGTTGTCCCGTTGCAGGAGATCTATAAAACACTGTCAACCGGAGGGTACTCTTCATTGACATTCATAGCTGCCACCCGGCATCTAAATGAAAGTGATGCCAGCCTGTTACGTGAGCTCGGCAAATAGGAGGAGCACTGGATTGCTTGAGAGGTGTTTCTCTTTGGGTCAGGCTTCCCGCTTTGCCCACTAAAGCACGAATAGCGACCTGAAGGCTCGTAAATCGAATGGTCCCAATCTGGCAGACCAAGAAGCATACACAACGCAACTCACTCCACTCCTCTCGTAGCCACAGTTCATATGACGTCTTCCCCCAGACCCCCAGTGGTCATGGGAAAATAAATCACCCAACAGCAACCACTCATGTGGGTGTCTATGTTTCGCGGGTTCCTTTTCGTTGGGTTCCAACAAAAGCCAAAGGCCGAAGGAAGACCTGGTTTTGGGCAGTCCAAGAAAGAAACTTGGAGACCCCCTGCTATCCCTCCCGTCCAGCAGCACTGTCACGCCACAGGCGTTGCACCTGGAATCCTGCGGGCTTGAAGCCCCAGAGCCCCCGGTTCCGCTCCCTGGCCTTGGCTCAAATCCCACCGATCCAAACCGACTAAGGGATACCTGGTGGATGTCTGTGTGCTGAAGGTGTATAGCCACAATTGAGGTTGGTTCTAAGGGGAAAACACACACTGTTTTTCGGGGGGGGGGTTCCCATTTGGAGGCATATCCATGTGTGAGCAGCACCGGGTTCACCCATTGACTTTTGGATCTACGAAAATAGCTACAACGGTTTACATTGGCGTGACATTGTAGTAGAATCACTTGCTAGAATGGGTACGCGTCAAATTGAAAAACCCTCAAAATGCAACACAGTTTGTCCAATCCTGGAAACCACCAATTTTGATTTGGTAGCCCCGTATTTCCACACCCAAAACATTGAGACAAGAGTAATTGGAAACACAGGTGTTGACATTATGCGTTCTACACATCTCGTGCATGAACTATGAGGTTCCCTGATTAGAAGACCCTAGATGGCTTAGTCTTAAACGGCCATGCATGGAACCCATATCTAGACTTCCCTCTGTTGTGGCTGGCTATGGTAATATCGGGAGAACGCATTTTGGCTCTGATTGCGCGCCGCTGATTGAGCAAAAGCCACCGCAGCCCCCCTTCCGAGGTTTAGGGAATGGTTCCTTCAAGCCCCAAGAGTGTATGACCGTCATGACCCGCCCAACAATCCAGGTGGTTTGACCATGGAACAAAACTCACCCCCGCCCCCGCACAAGAACATGTGGCACGCAACACATTCTCCGCTCCTGAAGGAACCTCCCCTCAACCGCATGCGATCAACGGCCCCTTGAAGTTGCCAGCCTTCTCCATCATGGCGGCCTCATCCGAAAAGTGCGTGTAGTACAAAAGCTTCTTGCTGGACCTCTGCCTTGCAGCACTTGGCAGCGAGTAGATTCTTACTGGTTCTCAGGAGGTAATGAAGGAATGACCGCAACAATCAATATACCAGTACCATCCATGGTAGTTTTTGTCCCTACTGAGAACCAAGGATTGCAAGGTTGTTGGACAACATCAGGGACAGGTTACACTCGCTCTATTCTGAGTGGGACTTCCCTGGAAATCAAAACTTTCGGCAGGCCCGAAAGTCCAAGAGTTTTCCAAACCACCTCTCAGTTTTGAAGGGGCGGACCAACAAGAGACCAAAAGCGGGTTTCCAAAAGATCTGGGCTGAGGATCCAAAGACCAGCCGCGCCAAAATATGGGGCGAGACTTGCTGGCCGAAACCCCACTTGAGCGGGGATCCGCTTCACCCGTTGACCGTTTGGTTCTACCAATATGTACCAGCATGGTTGTCATAGGCCAGTAAGGGCTTTCGATACTTCTGATTGGAGACGAGCTCCTGCAAACGGATGTGGGTCACAAGCAAGGACCGCATAGGCTGGTTGAAGGAGCTTCCCCGTTTCTGACACACAGCCAAAACATCCCGCGGTTGGGCCAACTCCCTCTTCACACATGTTTAAGCGCCTATTGTTCAAACATGCTCGTCTTGGAGTTTCTTTTGGAAGGGCCAGCTAAGAATTCCAGGCGGCTGCAAGGGTGCCATTTGTTGATTCAATGCCCCACAAGGTAGACTCGGGTGTGTCTCCAAATGGGAGGCGCTCAAAATGTGTGGTTTCCTTTTGTTGCCTGAAACAACCCCACACAACCAAGGGGTACCCTCCAAATAAGAAACTTGTGGTTTCCTTTGGTTGCATTTCTGAGCCACCCAAACAAGGGGGTACCCTTTCCCCCAGATGCCCAGTGCCCATAGAAAAAGAAGGGCATCCCTTTTTGGTTGGTTGACTTGAAAGGAAAAAAACCCTTCCCAAAAAAACGGGAAACAAGGGCACCACTGGGCAACTGGGTCCTTCCGGGAAAAAAAACAAAAACGCACCCACGTCGGCCGCCTCCGCCGAGGCCCGGGCATCTTCAAGCGGAGCCTCTCCCCCACTTCCTCCAAGGACCGGAAGCACAGCACGCAGCCGTCCTCCTCTGGAGCCTCCTACGCGCGGAGGAGGCGAGCTGGCGAGCTTGGAGTGACCAAATCCGTGGAAAAGGCTCAAGCGTGTCGTTTCCCATGAAGAAAACAATGACTCCAAGTGCAGAGTTGCCAGGCTGTCCCAGGTAGAACCGGTTGACGTTTGTGTGGTAACCCTTCCTGTTTACCCTGTGTCCTAACCGCTTCACCTCCTTATGGCTTACTAATCGTATGGCAAACCCTCCGCCCACTTCAGACAAACTGGGCATCTTGGGAGCCTTCTGAAGATCGAGAACCACCTGTGGGCTCGTTCAAAACACGAACTGAATGTGATGTGTTTTGTTGATGCGTACCTGTTTTTATCAGGTTGGTTCAAAGTAAGCCAAAAAGAAAACAAAAGTTATGTGTTTGAAACATCCCCAAAGTCAAATGACGTTGAAAGGACATGCTTACAAAAAAACAAATGAAACACCTGTCGCAAGGTCAATACCAAGCATGACAATGTCTCAAAGAATCCGTCGGCCTTTCAGATCTCCGAACGCCAAAATCGCCAAAAACGCCCGAAAGCTGGCGACGGGCGAGAGCACGAGAAACGGCTAGCCGGCGCAACTCGAACGATGCTGCGGAATCAGGGTGTGATAGCCGCACATGAAACTCACTATGTCTCAAAATAGGGGAGCTGTTGCGATCATCCAAAAGGGGACCAGCCAGCAGGGGATTCTGTGCTTTGAAGAAGGCCCACAAAGGGTTCGGTAGATGTCCAACTCATAAAATCAACACCACACCGAGAAACAACTCGGCCCAAATCGAGATGGCAGTGATGCTTGGAATAACATACCCTGCAAGAGAATCCTGCCAAATTCAGGGTCAACAACAAAAAACAACACGTTGTAAGTTGGCCTAAAAGGTGATGTTCAAGCCCGCCAAAAGAGTTGAGACATCTGGATGGCTCAATCCCCCTGTGGAAAAAGTTAGCTTTTCGCTCCCCGCAACGCTCTAAAGGCGTCACACTAGCCTCCACATAAGCTTTGGCAAAAGTAATGCGCCCGTGCTGCCCCTTGCACCTATTCTTTCAATCCAACCTAAAAAGCGCACGTCGGTACCATGGCACCCCGACTCCCTCCGCTCCTTGATCTTCAGATCCCACTCCACGTCTGCCATGGCGGACACTCCTTCAGAGGGCAGCCGGTCGGCCGGCCACGGGGACCGCTCAGAAAAAGGGATCCAATTGTACAGGGAGTTGATGTTTCCAGGGAAACTAGAAACAAAAGCAGGAAACGCAGCGTTGAACACTCGATGGATTTACTCCGGAAGTCAACTCGTTCCTACCCGGTGAATCATACAGCTTTCCGCACCCAGTCGATTCCATAGACCAAAGCCCTGGCAGACTTGCGTTTGCAACAGTCTGGGAGCCATGGAATCCCCTGGAGTCTGACAAGGACAAGCCACCCACATCAAGTGGGTCCCCTGAAATAAGCCCTAAAGCAGCCGATCGTCAACTTCCATGACTCTGAGCAAACTACAACACTTCCCATCCTGCACTTTCAGTGCAGCTTCACCAACCCAAGGGCTTTCCCTCATTTTACCGGGGCAAACTACCCCCGAAACGAACCCCGCCTGCCGGGTACGCCTTCTCCGTCTCCGCATGGAGGCCCACCGTGGCCAGCGCCCAGGCGCCCGCCGCCAGAACCCCTGCGAGAGCAGGTCGAAGCCCGAAATGGACCCGGGATGCATCAGTCGATGCCTAAATGTTTATCATTCCCGAAAGCATTGCGAAGGGTTCTTCCGGTAAAATCGCACGAGCCAACTTGCACCAGCCTTATCGCATAGCCAAACTTACACGAGCCAACTTACACGAGCGAACTTACGCGAGCCAACTTACACGAGCCAACTTGCACGAGCCAACTTGCACAGCTAACATACACGAGCCAACTTGCACGAGCCAACTTGCTCGAGCCAACTTGCACAGCCAATTTACACGAGCCGACTTGCACGAGCCAACTTGCACGAGCCAACTTGCACAAGCCAACTTGCCCGAGCCAACTTGCATGAGCCAACTTGCACGCGCCAACTTACACGAGCCAACTTGCACGAGAACAACTTGCACGAGATATCACACAGCCAAACTTGCACGAGACATTTGGACACGAAAGTAATCAGTTAGTCTCTCAAGGCGGCGCGGTGGGACCGAACCCACCCTGCGAAAATGACACCCTCTGCGGGCATTGGCGTGGTCGATGTCCAAAAACTGGGGACTTTTTCACGATTTCTGATCTGCGCGCGCGACCCTCTGCGGGGATTGGCGTGGTCGATGTGCAAAAACTGAGGACTTTTTGCGACTTCTGCGGTGCTCGCGCGACCCTCTGCGTGGATCGCGCGAAATGCTAGCAAAATGCTACTTTTTCAAGTCGGAACGCGGGCTTGAGAGTTTGTCTCGTGGTTGCGCGCCTGCTCTTGGCAATGACCGGCCCCGGGCTCGAATCCTGCTTGGTCTCCGCGGCCTTTAAGTTAGAAAGTCAGCAGCGCGAAAGTGGCTCACAAAGGGTGCATTTGTAGCTCCGGCTCAAATCGAAAGGTTGCCATGTTGCGGTCAGCGCTTCACGCAGAGAACTTGCTCGGAGAACTTGCTCATACAAATTTGTCCCGAGCTTGCGCAGCATACTTTTGCGTAGCGCTTGCGCATCGCAACTTGCTTAGAGCACTTGCGCCCGCAGAGCAACTTGCGCTGAACACTTGGGCCGAGCACTTGCGCAGAGCAACACTTGTATAGAGCTCGCAACACCGAAGCTTATCAGTCACAGAGGGGCAAACTTTGCAGATTTCCGCAGTAGCACGCGCGCACGCACGCGCGCAAGTGCACAGAGCTCGCAACACCAAAGCTTATAAGTCACAGAAGGGCAAGCTTTTCAGATATCCGCGGTAGCACACACGCACGCACGTGCGCAAGTGTGACACGCACACATGTCGGCTGTATTTGCTTTGACTTGCCGTGGCAAGAGTTGAGACATGCGGCAGCTGGGTGTTGCATGCAAAAGGCACACACGCACACACACATACGCACACACACACACACATACACGCACACGCACAGCCGCGCGCAAGCGCACAGAGCTCGCAGCACCGAAGCTTATCAGTGACAGAAGGGCAAAATTTGCAGATATCCGCGGTAGCACACGCGCACGCACGTGCGCAATTGTGACGCAGTGTCGGCCTTATTTGCTTCGACCTGCCGTGGCAAGAGTTCAGACATGCGGCAGCTGAGTGTTGCATGCAAAAGGCACGCACGCACGCACGCACCCACACACACACACACACCCACACACGCACACGCACCCACACACACACACACACACGCACGCAAGCACGCACGCACGCACGCACGCACGCACGCACGCACGCACGCACGCACGCACGCACGCACGCAACAGCAACTCTTGAGCAACCACTCCACTGGCATCCCCGCATGTCGGCTCGCTTTGCTTGTCTTTGGTCACTTTCCATTATGCTTTCGGGCCACCCGTGGTTCTAGTTGTTTTACATAATATGTGTATACATAGATGCACAAAAATTTTTGTTTACACATGCGTACACATGTGTATGCATGCGTATACATGCGTATACATGTGTACTTCTAGCGGCCTATTGGGGCTGCTGTCATGGCAGGAACTCTCCTACACAGAAACCTGAAAGGCATGGAGGGATTCAGAGGACAGGAAGGAGACGGCCTTGTGGCCACGATAGGGCACTTCAAGTGGGCGACTCTGTTAGCCAAGTGGACGCTCAGTGGACCGCGAAGAAGATGACTTGCTGGTGCGATAGCCAGGGAATGAGAATTGGAATGACCCTTATAAACCATCCAACTGGTGATTTCCTTTAAGAGGACCAAAGCCTGGGTTCATTCCCTCATTCCCTTCTGAGCACCAGCAAGATGAGGGGCAAACAAAAGGTCTTGGTTCTTGTGCGTGCTTCATTGGCTCAAGCCAAGTTGAGCGTGTAAGGTGCTTGTAACTGGCGTTCTCTTTCCGCAAGCGGTGTGGCAAGCATGGAATTGAAGGAGTCTTCTACACAATTGCTAGGGATTCCCTTGTAAACAAATAAGGAGGAAACGGGACTGCAACATCTCCAAGCTCCGTCTGACAAAAGTAACCGTCTGAATTCGGCAGCTCTGCCGTGATGTTCACTGCGAGAAAAGCGGGACGCTGGATACACACAAATTTTAGCAACTGCCAGGGGTTGCAATTCCAACGTGTTGTGATAAGAGTTCCTGTAAAGCTTGCAGAGTCTTCAATGGACCAAAAAAGGGAGTCCTACAACTTGGAGCCCTCTGCCCTGCCTACTAAGGCCTACTAGCTTCAGGCGCATGAAAACCGCCAGACATAAAGCCTTGGAGGGTACCCTGACCAAGCTTGCTTAAAAGGGAAGCCAGGAACATCACAATCATTGGGTCCCACTATTCTGGCACATATCCATTTGCCAAATCATGCACAACAAAGTACCGAGGCAAACCTTTGGCAAGTTTGATCACTCTTCTGATGGCCTGCTAATGTCAGCTGTATCTTTGTGGGCAGGGCGGGGGGGGGGGGGGGAAAGGTGACATTTTGGACGCACCATTCTACCTCATTGTGAGCATGTGTGTGTGTGTGTGTGTGTGGGTGGGAGGGAGTCTTTGTTGAGGGTACCCTTTTTGGAATTGTGTTGAAGGGGGAAAGCAAAAGGAAACTAACCCATTTTGGGGTTCCATATCCCGGGAGACAAACCCACAAGGGTGCCTTGCCCCTGCCCAAAGCTACAGCGCATTTTAAGCAAATGGAAAAAGGGAAGTAACCCACGTGTCTGGGTGTATATAATGTTAACCCCAGATTGCTCTTCCCCAGTTTGATAGTGTCCCTGGGCATAGGTTGAAAACACATCCGGGGTCAACATTGGTCTCCGATTTCTCGCCCCTCCGATTTCTCTCTCGGCCTGGCTTTTCCAGAGTCACCGGCGCAGTGGGAAGCCCCGCCATAGGCAGATCTCCTCCTGAGTCGCTCTCGTTCGCAAGTCTCTGCAAGGTGTCAAAGCCTGTGACAACCAGATCGAAGCTTTCAACCCTTCAACTGGTCCTTGGCGAGTCACTCTTGGGTCCTTCATTTTTCTGTGGCTCTCTAGTTGAGTTGCTTGGTCCCTGGGACTTTCGGGCCTGTCCTTCCTTCGGTTTTGTGCTAGAGCCGTGCCTGGCCAACTTACCCAGAGGCTCAGAAGCAAGCGCCTATCAAGGCTACCCACCTGGAAGGCAACTGCAAGACCAGGGTCGGTCTTGCGGGCTACCTTTTCACCTTGGTTGAAAGTGAAACCAAAAGGAAAACCATTCGCGGGTGGCCAAATTGGTGTGGTCCCGTTTTGTTTTGCTTTTTGTTACCACATAGCCATTCCTGAAAAGGGCCTTTGCTGGAAATCCCTTCTGGAACCAAAGAGGGCAAACCGCACGTCTACTTTGTCACTTGCGATGGGGTTCCCAAGGTACCCCGAAAATCCAAGCAAGCAGAGCAACATGGCTGACACCTCCAACTGTTTGCGACAATATTTACACAATGCGTGTGTGTGTGTGTGACCTGAATTCGCCTCTGAACATGGCGCATGCGGCATGTTTCCTCTTTCCCGAAACAACATTGTTCAACATCAAGTCTAAAATTCTGCCTGACTTTTTGCAAACAACCAGCAAGGTCTGCCTTCACACTCGTGCAATTCGTGTGCCCGTACATCAGCGCCTCTTCCCCCAACCTTTGATACCTTTCTGCTTTCGACCAAAATCACAAACACATGCTAGGGACTGCAAAGACAGTACAAGCTTCAGAGATTCGAATACGTAGGTGAAGGTAGTTGGTGATGTGGCAAATAGCTTCAAGAGTTAGTTCCAATCCAAACCCATCCCCAAGGATGACCTGATTTAGTGTGGATCCCCCCTAACAAAATGCAAACTCATGATTTTCCGAGGGTCCCCCTGCCCTCCCCCAACAAGACAAACAATCAAACAGAAACCCACAGCTTCTGCGCCGCCAACGCAAGGCCCACTCGTCCGGCGCCTGGGTCCTCCTTGCGGCGCTTCGACGGTGGCTCCGATGCGGAGGGTGCGTCCTGTCAGGAGTGACATTTGAAGTGGAAAAGGTCGCACCAAAAGCAAAATCGGCAGCCCTTGTTTTCGGAAAGCTACAAGGCCACAAACTGTCCTGCCAGACCAAGGGAACTGCCGCCTCGTTTTTGGGATGCCCTCCGAACGAAGAACGCGGCCGCGGGTGTCCTCCGCCGCAGCCTTCGCTTTCGCCTCCTCCTCCTCTGCCTTTGCCTCCTCTACCTTGGCCTCCTTCGCTTTGCCGGCCAGCTCTTCCCGAAGAGCCTTGGGCTCGGGGCGAGCTGCTCCCAGTACCATCCGAACAAAGGCTTGGCTTCCGCTCCCAGTACCATTCTAAGGCTTGTACTCCCACCTGTTCGCTGCTCACTAGCCTAAAAATCCACTCTCCACCACAGCTGACACCAAAGCCAACAAAAAGCAGGCTAACCTATACTGTCAACCATTCTACGGCTTGTACTCCCACTTGCTCCCTTTTCACTGGCCTAAACATCCACTCCCCGCCACAGCAAAGCCGAGAAAAAGCAGGCCACACCTAAACAGCCCCAGCTCATTCAGCCAGCCAGCTTCACAGGGGGGTGTAATTCCGCAGTGGTGCGAGGCTTTTAAATGGGGCTGCAAACCGACTGAATCAAATGCCCATTGAATCAACAGTTGAACTGAATTCCCAGCATTTTCCGCTGGTGTTATCCGCAAGCCCATGGAAACACCTAAGCGACCATGCGACCTTCCCCTCATTCCATGCCTCGGCTCAACCCTGTGGCAGAAAAAACACATCTTTTGGCTGCTTAGTGGGAAAGAACATTATTCCCCAAAAAACGTAAAGCCTACAGATCCAACCAACATAGCAGTTAACTGGTGTTCAAGTGGTTGACCCGAGAGCCCTGCAAAAGACGCAAACGAGATAAACATGTCCTCACCAAGTTGAGACAAGATGGTTCCACACTGGCCTTCACTTACATGGATGTCTATCGTGGCACATCCTCAGCTACCCAGGTTCCCCTGTAAACATCACCCCAAAAGGAAACTACAAACTCACCTTGAATTGGGCCAAGTCAACACGTGAAACTGGGGCGTAAATCACCGAACCCAAGCAGATTTGATACGTCTGAATGAGATCCAAATGGGTATGTGACAAACAGCATAAAGGGACCCTACAAATGGGTTTCTTTTTGAAACAACCTGAAAAGGGTATCTCAAAACTACGCACACACCTACACCGGGGTGAGAGTAGATGGTTCCATTCCCTTTAATGTGGGGGAAGTAAACGGGATGAAGCCAGAACGGGTTCGAACTGTGCCATCTACTTTCACCCAACTGTCACGCACATCATCTGGTAAGTCCCTATACTCCGAACGTTGCTACCTGAGCAATGGACAATGTAAGAAGTGGCTCACTGAGAGGGGCATGGGCACACCCAACAACAATAGCTTCAACCGGAATCTTCCATTTTAGACGGTAACATGTTGACCCCGGATTAATAAACCCTCACTTTTGGAGGGGAACACCCCTCCAAAAAAATACACAGGGGTGCATTCATCCGGGGTCAACATTACCCAGATAAGTAAACAGCCAGTGGCCATGGCTCAAAAACCCGTACTCCCAGTGAACATCCCAATCCCCACTACAATAGGCTCAAATGGGTGGTGAATTCACCTACCCCAAAATGGGATCCCATTGGCTTTGACCCACAGCCCAGTGGACAGACCCCAGCCCAACAAAGCGCCTCGTCCTTGCACAGCTCCAGCGCCGTCTGGTTCTGCGCCGTCTGCAGCTCCACGCTGGCGCCCTTCTGCACCAGGAACCGCGCGCACTCCGAGTGCCCCTGAGTCGAACTCAAGCGGAGCGAGAGGGTCTCAGAGGCATCGAATTGTGGGGAAAGCACCCCATGCAAATCTGGCCATAGAGATTCACATGGTGTGTGTGTGTGTGGGAATAATGCTTGGAGTTGGTAGCGTTTCAGTTGAAGGGAAGCCAAAATGGAAACCGCAAGTCTTGGAGTTGGGGGTCCTATTTTACATGGACCCTGTGTGGTGGACTAAGTCATGATAGAGAATCATGTGTGACTTAGCCCCCTCTATTACTCTTGTCGAGTGCATACACCCAATTTCCCTTGGAGGCAGTAGTTTGGGGGGAGTAGTGGACACCCTCTTAGATTGAAGAAAGCGGGAATTCTGGACAAGTTGCGGGCCTTCCCAAAACCAGGCACGGACCCTCTTTGGTGGACATGGAAGATCTGGTGGGTGCCCGGGGATTCGCTGCGTCAAAACTACCCCAAACCAAAGGGCAGCAACCAATAAACTCACAAGTCCTTGCGGCAATGAATGTGCCATTCACGTCAGGCAAGCGACTTTGGTTGGATGTTACTTTGTGGTTTGTGGTTTCAATGGTTTGTCTCTCTTGGATACCAATTGTGGTGGTAGCCTTGCAAATTAAGATCGATTCATAGAGGGGTTATGGTTAAAATGTTCTTAAGCATCAATCCTGCGTCCGCCAGGCGTTGCGAGGCTTTCGGGCCTGCCTTCTGACCACCCGCTTGGGCAGGGCGGACCTTCTAAAATGTTCAAAGGGGCCCCTCCTAGACATGACACTTTACACGAACCCAGGGAACCTTGATCTTGAAGAGGGGTCAAGAGGCAACCTCTCGATGTGAGCTCCGCCGCTTTGGTACTCGCGGGGAGTCCCGACTTCCCGTGAAGAGAAACCAGCGGGTTCATGTTTTTCGACAACGCCTTTCCCTAAGACGTGAACCGCGTAATTTCCGCCCTGTTGGAACAATCCCCTCCCCCCCCAAAACAAACACAAGCCAAGGGGGGACGAGCACCCACGCCTTGAGCAGGGCCAGGTGCAAGGCCGTCCTCTTGCCTTTCCGCACCTGGTGCCAAGAAGGATGGCTTTGGCGCACACAGGGAGGCCACTGGAGGGGCTGAAAGGCAAACCTCCAGGAAGGGACCCCACCAAAACTGGGAAGTTCTCGTTGGAGGGGCTCAGGCAAACCCAAAGAGCACCCTTGCTGCTTTAGGGGGTCCAAGACCCATTCTATAAAGAGTGGCTGCATGGCCAATCCTCGAAAAAGTAATCTTTGGTGGGCAGTCATGTGTCTTTCAAGGGGCTCCCCCACATGACGAGCAACTTAAGGTCTCTGTCAGGCTCCAAACCTTCCCGTGGCCGTTGTGAAAGGCACAACGAACATCCCAAGTCCAAGAGAAAGCGCAGTCTCTTCGAAGGGCATCAGATCGCGGTACTTGGACTTTGATAACACATACGCCCGTGATAAGAGGGACGGTTGTGGGCGCATTTGGCTTTAAATGAACGGTGAGTTGTGCTGAGGCTGCAGAAATCGATCGCTCTTCGACTCTTGCTTCTTTGTCCGCAAGGAGTCGCCTTCAAGACGCCTTCAGTGTACCACACCGTTGCCCAACCCTCCCGGCCACAAGCGGCGTTTGTCGTCTCCAAACTAGGGGAACCCCACTGGTGGGTTCCCGCTGATTTCCCTTTAATCAAAACCACTCAGGAAAGTTCCCTGGGCATCAAGGTATAGCAGAAGGTCCGCAGACGTCTTTTTGCCAACGACAACACAAGCAACATGTGGCTGTGGGTCAATAATATGTACCCGAAATGGAACCCGTAAGTGGAAACATGGACCAAAATCTGCGGTCCCCTGGTGGTTAAATTTTGACCCATACCCATGTTCTCTCGCACATAGGTGTCAAAATAGGAGGATGCAAAAAAGTGTGGTGCTTTGTTCTGTTTCTTTATTTGTTGAACCAAGCTGAAAAGGGTACCCTCAACAACACGCGCCCCCATATCAAACAGCTTACTAATGAAGAGTCTGCATCAGAGGCCGAGAACTGTGGCGGAACAAATGCTGAGCATGTTGCCATTCATCTCGCTCATGTGAAACCTGTGTGCTTCCCAGTGTCCCTTTTGTTGCCCACTGGATAAACCTGTGTCAAACCACTCAGAGATACAGAACTGACAATTGGTGCATGGCACTTGCCGTCACTTGGGAATGAATTTGAATTTCTCACATAGGGCAGAGTTATGCATTGTCCCATGCCTTGAGGTGACTTGCAAAATGCGCATGATAGTGCTAAAACTGGTGCTGGATGAGTGCTCGCAAATATGTTGATCAATTCAATGGCAAGACGCTGCAAGTTCTTCCACTCATGGCAGCTCGACATGGCTTCCCTATCACAAGCAAAACGACTAATCACTCTTGGTAGCTGGCCGCGGTCACCTTTACAACTGGGGAATGTTACATCCCTCGCGTCTTTGAAAGGACATCAGACATGGGTTATCTGGCTCTCATACCACATAGCTGGTCCAAACCTCTGCCCCACGGCAATGTCTAGTTCGGATTGGTTGTATGATTTGAGGTTCCCTTTTAATTGTGATTTTGAAACGGAAACAACAAGGAAACCAATCATTTCGGGGGTACAGTCACTTTGACACCACATCCTTGAATTCTGAAGTGGGTGTTCAATCCCTTGGTTCCCTGTTGATCCTGCTCTGCGGGAACACCTCTAGGGACTCCTATCGCTCGCACACGGCAATATTCTCAGAATCTGTGTCTCATTGAGTACCCCAAATATGTGTCAACAGGCAAACGAGCAAGCCATGGACATGGTTCAACAGCACCATCACCTATAGACTTCCAGTGGCCATGGGAAATAGTGCTTTAGTTTAAAGGGACAGCTTCCTCGAAAAAAGAAGAAGAACGGAATCGCCCCGCAGGTCTATCATATACCTTCCCAAAAATGTGAAACATATTTCTTAAGAAATGACCTTCTGGGAACCGGTTCCTGTGTTTCTACGTGGGGGCAAAAGGGAAACCCCTGATCAGTATGGGTCTGTCTGTTGTTCTGGGTACCCTTTTAGGGGTTGGTTTAAAGGGAAGCCAGAAGGAAAACCATTGGATCGCCATTCAGTCCCCCCTTCCGCGTCGCAGGAAAAGAAAAATCCGCGCCACGCGGTTCACGTGCCGCTTCACGGCCGCGTACTCTCCTGCACCGAACAGGCCATCTGCATCCACGAAGTCGGGTCAGTCGCTTTAGATTCTGAACACATAGGGATGTCTCCTCCACATACCCATATAATTAGTATATGTATATACACACACGCCAACTGACATATTTATACATGTGGACGTATATATATGTATATATATATATATACAAGTGGTGTGGGGGATGTCCCGTTGATCTGGATTTTGTGCACTTTTAGGACTCCACTCGTTGAACTGGGAACTCGGAAACCAATTGACTGGTCACTCAAACCTTGGACACAAAAGTGGCCCGCCTACGGTTCCCAAGCGAAAAACAAAAAGCAGCTACATGACCATCCTCGCTGGCCCAAAACAGGCGACTTCCAAAGAGATTCCCATTTGAACATCAACGCACGAAATGGCCAAGGTGATGGCCCAACGCGGGCCAAGGGACATCTCCGGTTTTCCAGCAGCCCAAAGGAGTCCTCTTGCCCGCGGGGTCCCGTCCAGACTCTCTCGAGGCTTTTTCAGGACTTGGTCAAAGCAAACAGATCCCCCGCTATCCAAGACACACACCACATCTCACTTCTTCCCGCCCCCCGGAGTTCAAAAAGGCCGTTCCCTTCAAGAAACCTCCGACAAACCTTTCAAGCTCATTTCCCCAAATCATCCCCGCAAAGGAACCTTCCAACTCCCGCCCAGCTCATCCGTTTCACGGTCCCGAACACCCCCCTCCAACATAACCTTTCCACAACGAATTCGACACGATTCCCCATTCCTCCAACTTCCCCTTTCGAACACCTCCCCAAAAGGAAACCCATTTTAACTTGGCGCCAAAAGGCAATACAGCAAAAAAAAAAAACACCCCTCAAAGCGACACATCGACACAGTCGTCTCCTGTCCTTTGGAGCTCATCTTCCGCACCAAGAGCCGCAGCACCTCCACGTGCCCCGACTGCGCCGCGAAGTGCAGCGCCAGGAAGCCATCCATGGCCTCCGCGAGCGCCAGGGCCATTGGTTTCAGGGCACCCTGGGTGGATATGAGGCGGAACAGGAAGGTCCTGTCTGTTTAAGGGTACACCCGCAATTGGCACGCCAGCTCGGAATGAATTCTGGGGGTTTGACAAGATCCGGGGCCAACAAGCCCTTTGGTGTACTGGAGGGGCTTCTTCCTTCGGGAGAGAAGTGACATCATGGCTACTTACGAGAGGCACCCAGCGAGAGCAAGACCCACAGAAACCGGGCTGTTTCACAATGGGTCAGAATCCCTAGTTCCAATCCATGATCCAAAGTAGGATACCACTGAAATAAGGGAAGCCACTACTAAGATTTGATTTTGAAGAAGCCGTTGGCTGAACACAAAGAGTCCCTCTCCAAACCACTCTCGGCCTCCAGCTGGGGATCCGCCCCCTTTTCCAACAGCTTGGCAACCTCAGGCGCGAGAAAATCGCCTTTTTGAAGGTGCCCTTTACGGGGGTGCCTTGATTTACTTCCGGGCCTTTTGGTTCCCATAGCAGAAGGGTTCCCGTTGTGGTTGTGGAACCTGGGGGTCAGCATGCGTTTGCCAGATGCAGGTGACAAAAGTTGCCGCGCCGGTAAGGAAGGCTCACAATGCGCAATTTGTATCACTTGTTTCCTTGCGTCTCTGCGCACATCAGCAGCTTTGGCGCTGCTGCGGGTCGTTTCGCTGCGCGGACGCTTTGTTTGGAAGGTTGCGATTTTGCGCCACGGTGTTGTGATTTGCGCCTCAGGGTGATCATTTTGAGGCGTTCTCCCTCGCAGGCGCAAGCAAGGGTTTGGGCGCGTTTTCGTCAGCTTCAATCTTCCCAAAATCGGTGGAAAACTCCTTCTGGCGAGGCAGTCCAGAGCTGACTTTGCATGACAGGCGTAGCACTATGGAGCACGTCTCACCGGAGCCCTGATTTGTGTGGCAGGCGCAGTACTTGGGAGGGTTATTTGGTTTGGGTAAGCTTCGGGTTGCTTGGGTTTAGGGCTGGTTCAGGGTTGGTTTCGCTTGGTATTGGGTGTGTCTAGATCTGCAGTGTAGGGATGGTTTGGTGCTGGTTTCTATGGTTGGTTTAGGGTTAGTAAGTGTTTGTTTGGGGTGGGTTTAGGTAGGGTGGGTTGGATTGAGCTGTGGTTGGCTTTGGCTGGGCTTAGGGTGGTTTAGGGTAGGTTCACAGGAATTTAGAGATGGCTTGGGGTGGTCTAGGGTTTGTTCAGGGTCTGCTTGTGGTTGATTTAGGGTGGGTTTAGAGTTGGTTTAGGGTGGGTTTAGTGTGAGTTTAGAGATGGTTTAGGGTTTAGTTCTGGGTTGTGGTTTAGGTGGGGTTTACGTTTGGCATAGGGCTTGTTAGGGTTGGTTTAAGCTGCGTTTAGGGTTGGTTTCAGGTGAGTTTTGGGCTGGTTTATGGTTTAGGGTGGGCTTAGGGCTGGTTCATGGTTGGTTTAGGGTTGGCTTAAGGTTTCTGTAGGTATGTTTTCGGGCTTGGGTGGGTTTGGGGTTGGTTTAGCAACGCTCTAGGTTTGTTTAGGGTTGGTTTAGGGTTGGTTTAGGGTTTGTTTAGGGTTTGTTTAGGGAGGGAATTAAGCTTGGTTTAGGGTATGTTTAGTTGGTTTAGGGATGATTTATTGATGAGTGGGTGTGTTCGGGCAAAAGCCACCAAACGTCCTGAAAACTCGCAAAAGGCCGCAAAAGACAAACAACCAGCCCAAAGAAAAATCAAAAACAATTCCCGAATTCCTGAAAAAATGGCCCTGCGTTTTAAAGTGAAGCCGGATGGACAACCGCCACTTTGGGGTCTCCCCCATTTTGAAACAAGCCCTTTCACCTCATGCGCACCATGCCTTCCAAATGCTTTGTGGAGTGGGTTTTGATGTTCATTCCAGTTGCCACACACTTTTAGGAGGAAACAGGCTGGTAACAAACCTGGCACTTTTGGTGCTTTGCTTGCTGTTTGCTGTTTTTGGGCTGTGATGTGTCGAGTTGCAGTTGTGAGCGGGGGAGGGGTGGGTGGGTGGGGGAGGGAAGTTTGGGGGGGGAGTATGTTACCGTCGTTCTGAAAGGTTTGCACGCACACGAACGCAAATGCCAGTGTTGGTTGCAGATGCTGGCAAAAGGCGTCTGGAGAGCCACCAATGTCCATCCCAGCAAACATGAGTTTGCCAGAAGAGTCTCTGTGACGAGAGCACGCAAACGACCCGCTTGCTTCATAGTGGGGACTCAATGTATGGGCAATCATTGCAAGACTATATCACAACCCAGCTTCACTCTAATGTCGTTCGCTACATGCATAGCTTGTATTGATTTCATCAGCTTTCCATTGAGCAGGATTTCAGCCGTGATCGTTGGCTGCTGCTTGTTGGCTCAGATTGTCGGGCAATTGAACTGCAACTCTGCAAAAGTCATTGGGTGTTTGACCATTTATGCATGAAAACAATGCTGTCCGAATTCTCCCGTTCACTTCCAGGCATGAGCCAGAGCCGACAAGTTGCAGAAAAGCCAGGGGAAAACACGTGTGACACAGGCTTCGCCTCCAGGTTTCTTGACCGCCTGTGACCTCTTAGGAAGGCTTCCCAAGTACGGTTTGGATGTCCAAACACTTTGTTGGCGTTGATGTTTAGGCACTGGCGCACACGCTCTGGCTGTTCGCCGTCTTCTAAAATGATCGGGCAACTCGCGTCGCAAAGGCATAGACGAGGCTCGGCTCCAACAAACACATGTGTCCAACCTGCCCGTTACAGCACTTCTGCCAAACCTGCAAGCACCACGAAACCTCCACCCTCCACCCCACCCACCCTTTCCCCACCCACCCACCTACCTGGCTGTGGGTCAAAACCAATGGTACCCCACCCCAGGCGCTCTCTCCGGGGTCCCGGCAGCCTCCGCCTTCCCGAAGAAGGCCGCCATGTGCAGCGGAGTGCGTTTGTGCTGGTCAGGCGCATTCAGCTCCTTCACCTCCTCCGGCGCCAGCCTTGGCAAGCTTGGCGCCCCAAGGGGCCTAGGGGCCTAAAACGTAGATCAAAACCACATTTGGGTGTGTCTTTTTTTAGGGGGGGACCCCCAAGAATAGTGGTTTGCTTTTGGCGTCCCTGTAAAACCACCAAAAAGGGGTACCCTGAAAAAAGACAGACCCATTTAGTCCCAGGGGTAAACTATTAGAATTCTGGTTCGCCCCTTTGTACTTCCTTACCTCCGGGGGTGTGGCCTTGAAAAAAGACGCTAAGTGTCGTGTTTCCCTAAGAATTGGTGAGAGGGTCGTCAGGTGGCCTTTGAATGGACCTGGGATTGCTTCAACCATTGCAGGCATAGTCCAAAAGAAGCTCACGGGTCCATGAGCACGCCACAGCCCAAACTCCAAACTTGACCTTGCTTCCTCAACCGTATGGATGCAGGAACAGGACGATTGACACCGTGGCGTCAACCCATAGACCCCAAAAACAATGACTCGGAGCCCCGAAAGTAGAGCCAGCAACCGAGGCCTCGCCCGGCAAATCCGAGCTCCAAACGTAAGATCCAATGGTTGGAATGGAAAGAGGATCAAGGTGTGACATCCATTTGCTTAAGTCTCCCAGAAAAATGACAATATTTCCAGTAGTGATAGTTTCCCATTGAAATCACCAGGGGAAAATAAAAAAATGCTCTTAAGCAAATGGAAGGTGAATTTCAATTGACCTGAAGTGGTGAAAATTGGTGGGGGGTTCATGTCCACCAACCGCTTTTAAGGCTGCTCCCTATTCAATTCATAATTGTCGACTGAGAAAGAACACGGGCGTGAAAGGGGCTCGCCACGGTCCAAGAAACAAAGAACAACTTGTCGGTTTCGCCTTGCCATCTGTGCTACGCAGTGCCCGGAATTACCGTGTGACACTCGCAGGATGTTGAAGAGTACAGGCACTTAACACCTACGATAAAGACACCGCATGCGCCTCGCAAGATGACCGTGAATACAGTATCACCCCTGGAAAGTCTCCAATGTGCTAACCGTTCCCATCTTAAAAGCAACCTTCCCCCCCCAACTGTATTGGGGATCTCTCCGTGAAGTTGTTTGGGACGTATCTTTCGAGGGAACCCTCGATGGCAGGGCCTTGCTCTGCGCCCAGCCTGGGACCGTGAAAGCCGTGTATTCCCCCCGTGCGGGATTTCACAATTCGGGCGCCCGGATCATGGACCGCCAACGAGAAAGAATTATCCTAGTGGTGCTACCAGGGACATGTGCATTGGATATTCCAGATCATAGAAATAAGAAATCCCCCACGTGCTCAGCGAAGATGAGTTGTTGCTTGTTCGCACTTGTGGCCCAAGACCTTCAAGCGGTGCTTGTTACTCACTATAAAATCATAGTGAGTTTGCTAGGACTCCTCGTAGGCCGCAATGCCTCTCAAGGGGGGCAACCCATCTCCAGATCGGTCCTTTGACCATGGCTCAAACCTAAAGTCCAGTGACTCGGCAAGTGAGCCGTGTCTTTCGTTTTGTGAGGCCCCGCTTTTTTCGGGGGTTTTCCAGGGGCAGCAAAAGGAAGCCTTCCCCCCCCTCTTTCCACCCCCTCTCCTCCACCCCCCGCCCCACCGCACCCACCGCGTACGCTGTGTTATATTAGGCCTATGAGGACACGAGTGAGAACTCAGCAAGAGCGACATCCATTCTTGGGGCTCCCCATAAGAAAAACAAAAATCCTTACATTATACACCTGAACATTGCACCTTGTAAATGGTGGTTTCCAACTTTATTTTGGACAGAAAAAGCCACATGTTTGGTTTCCAGCTTTATTTTGGTGGAATGAAAAAGCCAGCAACATGCTTCAAATGGCAAGTTGCAACATGGCCACTTCTTTTAAGGAGCCCTGGAAAAACCGGAAGAACCAAATATATAAATATATATATATACATATATGTATAACCAAATATATATATATATATAAAAAGCCCAAGCCCCCCAAGGCTTCAGCGCCAGGCGGCAGCTCCGCCAGCTTGGCGGCGTCCCCGCTGCGGGCAGCCAGGTGCAGCTCGGAGGTCTCACCCTGCGGGTCGATCAAAAGGCGTCGATTGGGGCGAGTGATCTGAAGATTTGGCTCAGCTCTTTCTTTCTTTGCTTGTTTGCTGCTTTTCTGTATGTTTTTTTCTTTTTCTTTTGTTGTTTTCGTTCTTTCGTTCTTTGCTTTTCTTGTGTTCTTGTGTTCTTGGTTTCTTTCTTTTCTTCTTTCTTTCTTTCTTTCTTTCTTTCTTTCTTTCTTTCTTTCTTTCTTTCTTTCTTTCTTTCTTTCTGCTGAACTGTGCTGAACTCTACTGAACTCGACTGAAAGAAACAAAGCTGAACTCTCATTTTGCCGAGATTGCTATCGTCATGTTGGCGTGCCTCAGGTGGCGACCGTGCCTCAACTTGATTTGACACAGACCCGGTTCCGTCCCCCACTATCCTTCACCTGCAAAATTAACTTTGACACATCTGTCAATACAGTAGGTTTGAAACAAGCTCCCTCGGGCTTCCCTTGAAACAGGACCAAACCAGTAGTTGCTGCAACATGTTGCCCAAGCTGAAGGGGTGACCGGGCATCATCTTGGGACCAGAAGAAGGAGGCACACCTCTGCAACACACTGCCCCACCGCGACTCAAGCGCTAACACCCTCCAAAACGAAGCTCCTCGCGTTGAGGCAGACCCCACGTTGCTTATGAATACCCCGCCTCACTTTAAAACTGCCCAGAAGGCGATGCTTCAAACCACGAAAGTGGGGGACACCAAACCTGTCCGGCCCCCGGTCCGGCAGGGCCTTGGCCTCCTCGCCTGGGCCCAAAGAAAACTCTTGGGTGTAGTTTCATGGGCTTTTTGGGTTGGAGCTGGGCTTTTGGTTGGAAATCCAAAGGAAAGCCAAGCCTGCCTTGCAGCTATCCGATGTTTTGAGACGCACCCAGGAGGTTTGGGGCGTTTGCAAGAGGATGGTAGTCTTCCAAAGCCAGCCTGTCCACTTCCATGGCTGTTGGAAAGCGGGTATATGTTGAACAAGGGTTGTCTCAGGAAGGGAACCTTCCTCATTCTGCCCCTGTGAGGTTGTTTTCTTTTGCCCAAACCATGTCCCTTTCAGACAACAACCACGAAGCCAAGTCACCAAACCCAGTCACGAGCCAAATATCAAAACGTGGGAAGTGCTGAATACATGGCAAACCACGCAACCTCACTGTGGTCTGACAACTTGCCAATCGGGTCGAAGCTCGACCTGGCTGGATTTAGAGTCGGGAACGAGATGGCCCAAAGCAGGAGGTTTGAAAGGCTTGGAACGATTGTCCGCAAAGCCTCTTTCACTTCGCATCGAAGTCATGCTCCAATTTGGGTGTGAAATTGAATTCGGGACCCTGTGGACAACGTTTAGGTGAAGACGTATGCCCATGAACCGCCATTGAGGGGTCCCTTTTGAGTCTGGCAATTGATTTGGAAGTTGATCGGGCTGGCGTTCACAACTTCGATTCAGGACCAAACCGCAACCGGACACCGCCGCCTTTTTTCTCTTCTCAAAGCCCCAAATCCCAACTGTCCCACGGAAACAACTCCAGAAAGACCAAAAGGGTAGCCAGGATCTGTGTCAAAATTGGGTGGCCCTACCGGATTCGATCTTGGGTTCCGAGCCTCTAAAATACACACACCCAACAAATCCCCCTGCCCCAGTGCAGCCAAGGGGCCTTTGTCCTTCCCCTTCTCGCGGGCCTTGCCTTTGTCTTTGCCCTTTCCCTTTCCCATGGCAACTTCGGAGCGGTCTGCCGATCTGACATAAACTCCTCGCGCGGCTGAAGTGTCCTTGCGCCTTGATCTTTTTGTCGCCTGAGGTGATCACGGTTCTTTGTGGAACACCCACCCCGCTCGGTCCCTGAAGCCCAGCGGGAGCCCGGGCTCCCTCGCTCATGAAAGCCGGGCCAAACCAGACACCGGTCATTTGGAGGCACCCCTGGCTTCCACGCATCCCCATCTGTACAATGATTTGTGAATACATGCCTCAAAGAGAGATGTGCTATCTAGCAACCATCACGTTCAACTCCAAGTGTGCGCCTTTTTGAAACCATCGGATTCCGGAAACCATCGGATTTGCAAATGATCGACCGCGCACACAACAACCCCTCGTTGTTGTGGCTATAGAAACTCGGGCTCTGTCAGATTCCCTTTTGGAAGAAGACGCGCGCCGAGTGAGAACACTCCCACTGGCCAGCACGCACAGTCATGCGTCGCAGACAGCAGTCTTAGTCGTATCTTCGAAGACAACGCGGAAGTCGAGGAACAGGTAGGCAAATGCAATTATGGCAAAGAGAATCTCGGCGAGCAAGTGTCCCATGCGAAGGGGCGGCAGCCAGTAAGTATCAAAGATCAGCGGGTACTGGCCACTGAAGAGGATACAGGCAATAAGCTCGTTCACGCCAGCCTGTTCAGGGTCGGATGCTTGGCATCACACATGGCCTCACACGTTTCAATGTTCTAAGTTCTAATCCCAATGAACGGCCAGTAGTTCTCCTCCAAATATGCGGGGCCATCTTTCTGGTTGTTTTTCTGGCTTCCGAAATTCACGGAAAACTGACCCACGGGGAAGGACTCCATTTCCAATTTGGGGGTTGTTGTGAGTACTCTCCAAAAAAGACACAACCACATGGGCCCCACCTGAGCCACCGTCAAAATGAATGGTTTCCCCAAGAGGACTGGGAAAACTTGAGTGAGTCCCAAAATGTTTCTGTGGGACAAAAAAGACGCCCTCCGCCTTTCTCGTCCTAGCCATGGCCCACTGAAAATTCCGAACCTCATCTTGGTAGCCGATCTCCCTAACATCACCCAAAGAAAGCTCACCAGGGGCCAAAAAGGTGATGTCTAAACCATCAACAAGTCGGAAACCTAGGCAGCCCTAAACCGGTCCCAAAATCCATGCAACCCCAAAAGGTCGGCTTTTCTCTCCGGTGTCCTTTTCAAGGTTCCAACGCTCCTTGGTTGTTTCTTGTTTCTTCGAGTTCGGTGCCTGGCTGCGGCTCATGAAGGTCATGTCCAGCACCGCGCTCTTCGCCACCACCGTCAAGATGTAGGTGCCCTGCAGCGCTGTCAGGGGCGCGTCCAGGCGCAGGTCACCATAGTTGTAGTGCATCAGGATGAAGACCTCACGAGTCTTGAGCGGCGGGCGGCCGGTGAGGTGGTGAGGCGGTGAGGCGGTGAGGCGGTGGGGGGGGAGGACAATGAGTGTGCCGTCACCTCCAAGTGGCGGGCTAAAGGGAAATACCCCCCCCTTTCCAACTTTGATAGCATAGCAGTCAAAATCATGCGGGTTGGGCCCAAAGAGGGAGGCAAACAAGCCCAAACACACCTTAAGGACGCGCAATGAGAACGGGAACGCTATTTCAGAGTCGTCATGGGGGGGAGGATTTTATAGTATCAACCCGAATTTCACCCAAAACAGTAGATTTTGACTGGCCACAGGCTCTCGGGCCAACGATCGCCGGTGGACCGTAGGGTTGCTGGGCCTGGCCAGAAAATGCATAGGCACCAACCAAGCGGGTCAGGGCATATATGAGTATGAATTTGATACACACTTGCCATTACCAGTACTGCCTCACTCACTCACTTTGAAGGTAACGCCCTGAGGCGCCAAGCCGATCAGAGCTCTCAGGCCAACACGATCACGGACTGGCCGTTGACCTTGACAAGCCTGACACCACGGGCATTGAACCTCGTCATCAAGTCAACCCGATCTTGCCCAACGTCCACTCCAACGCCATCGTCTGGATCGGCAAGTCGCAAGTTGGCAAGAGCCCGGCGTCGCACACGCTGTCCTCTGTGGTGTCTGCCTACTTCAGGAAAGAGAAGGGGAGGCGGACTAAGCCCAGGGTCTTTGATGATGGCAACCTCAACCTGGAACACCCCGCATCCGTGAAAGCTGTCACGGAAGTCGACGACAGATATCGGAAGGAAGACGACAGCCCGGTACAACGCATCGTCCTATGAGAAGAATCAGCTTTGCCAGGTGCGCAGCTGCGAATGTGACATCGAACACTGTGCCCTTCGATGTGTTCTTCAAAATGATCCATCCATCGTTTCACAGAGATTTCGATGAAGAAGCCGATCCGTCTTGGGGTCTATCTGAGGCCGCCTGGCACCGAGCGCGAGCCTGTGAAGCACGCATGGCCGGACCAAGAGACAAGACACTGGCATGGTTTCCTTGTGCGCCACGCCAACCCTTCCTGCCTACAAAAAAGGGAACTTGTTCCAGCTCCCACCCACATACAACGCGGACCTGCAGGGGGCCTGAACCTGCTGCCGCCCTCGATGGCGAAGCCGTGCCATACTGCACGGAAACGCGTGGCACGGAGATGTTGCCGGAATGCGCGTGCATCAAGGAAGGGTCGACAAGCCACCTTCACCGTCTGTCCAAGTTGAGGACCACATGAATGTCGAGGCCATGGATGTTGTTGACCCCATGGATGAGACATGCCGGGCATGTGGATCAGTGGACCACAAAAACCGTCACTGCATCATGCACTGCACATGACCGATCACACACACACAAAACTGGTCTCCGTTTCACCAACATCTTCAGCTCGATTTCTAGCGCAGCATCCTTTGCTATCACATCCATCATGCCGAAGAAAGTCATCAAGTTTATGAAGGCGCCTTGCCCTGCTGCGAAGCGGGGCAAGCGCCGGAAGAAATACAAGGCCGTCCCCTACGTTCGACACGGCACACCCACGGCCAAGAACAAAGGACATCGTGTGCGGTGGGGCCGTTCGATACAACAATTGGATGGCCTCGTCAAAGTCCAAGCTGATCAAAGCCCGCTACACGGACAAGATCCTCACTTGCTGGAAGGGCAGCTGCCACAAGTTCCTGCAGCCTTGACTACCGCCCGATCTTCTACATGGGATCTGGCAAGTCGTGTACTCCTCTTTGTCAGCAAGTAGCGGCGCTGCGCTGCGCCGTGGCAGGCGCACCGCGTCAAGCAGCACACCTGGCGATGGACATGGAGCAGCAGCCTGTGGAACGTTGCCAGGGCAGACTACGTGACAAAGAACGAGAAGGAGGGAGGGAACTGGGAGGGACATCGGAGAAACGGACGGACGAGATCGTGGCAAAGCGGGGCAACACAAAGTGGGAGCAATGGGCTGGTGGAACGGGGACGCCCTTCGTCTCTTTGCTTGTTTCGTCTGAACCCCAAGACGACGAAGAAGCGCCCTGTGGACGATCGCCAAGAAACACCTCGCCAACAAGCAGGGTGAAGGTCCCGGGCACCATCCATTGCAACGTAGTTTATGAGAGGAGAAAGAAGAAGGTGGGCAAAAAGGCAGGCGAGCTGAGAGACAGTTGTGGTCCTTATGACAGTGTGCGTGATGCACTTTGAAGTAGTCTGTGCGCCTTTCTTTTGTCAGGTGATTTGGACGAGGCGGCATTACACCAAGGTGCTCCACCTCAAGCTCCCGAACGGCGAGAAGTTGTCCGTGAAGGGTGGGACACAGGTTCTGGGGGTTGGCCAGCCCTGATCCGTAAGATTTGGCCCCTCAGCTTGAGTACTGGCACCGGCAGTCCCATCTCTGGAAGGCAACTGGCAACATGCTGCGCGCCCTCCAGACGCAGTTGTGACCTCTAGCCATAGCGATCTCCACGCCTTGAAGGATGAAAACAAGTCCGTCCATCCGCGCGCTTCATCAGCCGTTGGCCCCTCAATTGTGGCAAGACTGCCTGCGTCTTTTCAGCACAACTACGCACTAATGAGAGGTCCCGTGTTGTCTGCACCTGGGAAGCTGAAAACAGCACTTTGCGACCTTCCAGCACTTTGAGCACCTGAAGCACAAAATGGTGTTGCATGGAAGGTGAATGTCCATCTGCTTCACTGAAAGCACTCGAACGAGCTCAGTCTGCTTCATCTGAAACCCATCCAGCAGTCAGCAAGCCTTATCTTGAAAACACATCTGCAAAACAATCCAAAATGTCTGCTTCATCGCATGCCACAAGAAAAACAAATGCAGCCTGCCTCATCTTATGTCTCATAAAACTCTGATCAGAATCTGATCCGGCCACATATGTAGAAAATGCAGAGAAAACACTGTATTTAGGTGTGGATCATGGGGGGGTGACCATATGTATATATATATATATATACACGCATATACCTCCAAGAGGAACCAAGAATTCTTGCAATAAGGTTTTCAAAAGAACGGCTCCGCCGGAACAGCTAGGGGCGCCTCTACGAGCCTCCGTGGAAAATGGCCCTCCCTTTTCTGTGATACCCAAGTGTGGAACCCCATCAGTCAACCACGTCCCCGCACGCAACAAACGATTTTTTGTCAGTGGCCAAGTGAAGGGGGTACAGCTGGGCAAGTGGCATCCAAGGTCCCACTTACACACCAAATGTTCTCATTCAACCGTTTGAGGAACAGAACTTTTAAAACCAAATCAGGGGTTGGGCTTCTCTTTCGTCAGCAAGATCTTGAAAACTGGCTGAAGATCGGAAACGGGGATTGGGCTATGTCCTTTTTGGTAAGTAGGATCTTAGAAACTGGCTTGGGATCTAGGACTGAGAATTGCTCCAATGTCCCAAACCTCCCTTCACTGCCCCTGCCAAAGTGTTGGTATCGCAAGGCGCATGGCTGGAATTTTGCCTGCAAGCGCGAGCCTTGGGCCAACCCTACACGTGTTTAAACCATAGTTGTTGAAACAACCTCCTTTTGGCGTCCGTTTCAGCAGGGCCACGGTCGCTTTGTTTAAGCCAATTTTGCCCAACCCTCTCCACCGGGCAGGGGTCGAAATCCACCAGCAATCCCTGTGGAAAGTATTACTGGGTGGTAGCCCAGAGGTGTCGGTGACCTGATTCTGCGTTCCTGTAACTAGAAAATGGCAGCAATGTCCACATCACCCTTAACAGTGTAGTGTTGGGTACTCCCCCTACAATCCTAGCAAAACAAAAAAAAGGGGGCGGCCAAAACTTTTGAAGATTCCTCGTGGATTCCTCTGGAAGTGGCTGAAGTGGGTGGGCTGCTTGATTCACGTTTCCCGCTTCGAGGCGCGTAGGGGCAGAAGAAGCCGAGGCAGGCCCAAAGCGCCAGGAGCAGCGTCGCGCCCGAGACGTGCTGAAGGTACCAGGCGCCGAAACGCGGCAGAGCCTCGAAAGAAACCGAGGCCCAACGCCATGCATGAGCACGCGCCATCGTGTATGTGTCATATATATATATATCTGTATATGCATATATAAAGGAGATAGTGTATTGTACAACATATTATCTTACAATTGTCTGTGCTCTAATTTACTGTAACATATGTTTTTACATATATATATATATACAATTGCACATACAAATGTAAATGTGACATGTATAGGTATCTATCACAACAGGCGCTCCTGCAGGCGCCATTTTGCCTACGCGCCGCGCGTTTTCGCAGCCGAGTGATCTGTGTCTCTGCCTGCCTGCCTGCCAGTCTGTCTGTCTGTCTGTCCGTCTGTCTGTCTGTCTATCTCTGTCTCTGCCTCTGCCTCTGCCTCTCTGTCTGTCTCTGTCTGTCTCTGTCTGTCTCTGTCTGTCTCTGTCTGTCTCTGTCTGTCTCTGTCTGTCTCTGTCTGTCTCTGTCTGTCTCTGTCTGTCTCTGTCTGTCTCTGTCTGTCTCTGTCTGTCTCTGTCTGTCTCTGTCCATGTCTGACTGTCTCTGTCTTGTCTCTGTCGGTCTCTGTCGGTCTCTGTCTGTCTGCGCCTATCTCTGTCTACCTCTGTCTGTTTCTGTCTGTGTCTGTCCTGTCTCTGTCTGTCTCTGTCGGTCTCTGTCTCTCTATCTCTCTATCTCTCTGTCTCTCTTTCTGTCTCTCTTTCTGTCTCTCTTTCTGTCTCTCTTTCTGTCTCTCTTTCTGTCTCTCTTTCTGTCTCTCTTTCTGTCTCTCTTTCTGTCTCTCTTTCTGTCTCTCTTTCTGTCTCTCTTTCTGTCTCTCTTTCTGTCTCTCCTTCTGTCTCTCTTTCTGTCTCTCTTTCTGTCTCTCTTTCTGTCTCTCTTTCTGTCTCTCTTTCTGTCTCTCTTTCTGTCTCTCTTTCTGTCTCTCTGTCTCTCTGTCTCTCTGTCTCTCTGTCTCTCTCTCTCTCTCTCTCTCTGTCTCTCTGTCTCTGTCTCTGCATGCACGCACGCACGCAAAAATAAATGAATGAATAACTGAGTGACTGAATGAATGACTGAGTGACTGAGTGACTGAGTGAGTGACTGAGTGGCTGAGTGACTGAGGGACTAAGCGACTCAGTGACTGAGTCAATGAGTGACTGTGACTGACTGACTGACTGACTGACTGAGTGAGTGATTGACTGACTGAGTGATTGAGTGAGTGAGCGAGTAAGTGAGTGAGTGGAATGAATGAATGAATGAATGAATGAATGAATGAATGAATGAATGAATGAATGAATGAATGAATGAATGAATGAATGAATGAATGAATGAATGAAATGAATGAATGAATGAATGAATGAATGAATGAATGAATGAATGAATGAATGAATGAATGAATGAATGAATGAATGAATGAATGAATGAATGAATGAATGAATGAATGAATGAATGAATGAATGAATGAATGAATGAATGAATGAATGAATGAATGAATGAATGAATGAATGAATGAATGAATGAATGAATGAATGAATGAATGAATGAATGAATGAATGAATGAATGAATGAATGAATGAATGAATGAATGAATGAATGAATGAATGAATGAATGAATGAATGAATGAATGAATGAATGAATGAATGAATGAATGAATGAATGAATGAATGAATGAATGAATGAATGAATGAATGAATGAATGAATGAATGAATGAATGAATGAATGAATGAATGAATGAATGAATGAATGAATGAATGAATGAATGAATGAATGAATGAATGAATGAATGAATGAATGAATGAATGAATGAATGAATGAATGAATGAATGAATGAATGAATGAATGAATGAATGAATGAATGAATGAATGAATGAATGAATGAATGAATGAATGAATGAATGAATGAATGAATGAATGAATGAATGAATGAAATGAAATGAATGAAATGGAATGAAATGAAATGAAATGAAATGAAATGAAATGAAATGGAATGGAATGAAATGAAATGAAAATGAAATGAAATGAAGTGAAATGAAATAAATGAAATAAATGGAATGAAATGAATGAAATGAAATGAATGAAATGAAATGAATGAAATGAAATGAATGAAATGAAATGAATGAAATGAAATGAATGAAATGAAATGAATGAAATGAATAAAATGAATGAAATGAATGAAATGAATGAAATGAAATGAAATGAAATGAAATGAAATGAAATGAAATGAAATGAAATGAAATGAAATGAAATGAAATGAAATGACATGAAATGAAATGAATGAAATGAAATGAATGAAATGAAATGAATGAAATGAATGAAACGAATGAAATGAATGAAATGAATGAAATGAAATGAATGAAATGAAATGAATGAAATGAAATGAATGAAATGAATGAAATGAATGAAATGAAATGAAATGAAATGAAATGAAATGAAATGAAATGAAATGAAATGAAAATGAAATGAAATGAAATGAATGAAATGAATGAAATGAATGAAGTGAAGTGAAGTGAAGTGAAATGAAATGAAATGAAATGAAATGAAATGAAATGAAATGAAATGAAATGAAATGAAATGGATGGATGGATGGATGAATGAATGAATGAGCGAGCGAGCGAGCGAGGGAGTGAGTGAGTGAGTGAGTGAGTTAGTGGAATGAAATGAAACGAAATGAAACGAAATGAAACAAAACAAAACAAAACGAAATGAAATGAAATGAAATGAGATGAAATGAAACGAAATGAAATGACATGAATGAATGAATTGGAATGGAATGGAATGGAATGGAATGGAATGGAATGGAATGGAATGGAATGGGATGGAATGGAATGGAATGGAATGGAATGGAATGGAATGGAATGAATGAATGAAGAAAGGAAGGAATGAATTAATGAATGAATGAATTAACAAACGTGTATACGTATGAATATGTATGCGTACACATACATCACATATACATGTATACATATATATGTATATATAGCTTACCCCCCTCTAAAAGCTAGGACACAGACCATAATTGTTGACTGGTTCCACGCCCACGCAAAAACTCACAGGAACCAACATGTCGGACCTCAACCTCACTCAAAACAACAACATCTACAATCTACGTTTCAAAACCAGACAGGTATCTACATGTTGCGCAACAGTTCCCTCTCTAGACCAATAAACCACAAATAAAAATCCAAAGCAATAGAACGATCCTACCCCTACCATGGCTGAGACGCTTTGGTTTTCCGTTGTTTGTTCGGTCCTGTGAGAATCTTGCCCCGCATTTCCTAGAAACTCCGTATAGACCGGTTTGCTTCATCTTCGCTGCCACCCTCCTCCCCCAACCACCCTCCCCAACTCCTCCAAGCGCAGGGGGGTCTTTTTGCTGCTTTTTTGTGGAAAAATGATCGACCCCCTTATAGTGAAGGATTCCTTTTTGAGGGGGTCGCCAATTTTCGCACCAAAGGTGGCAAAAAGACACCCCTGTCCAAGCCCCCACCCCCCCCACCCTGCTCAACCCCTCCAATTCCCTCACCCTCAGCCTGCCACTGGCGTTTGGGCCCGAAGGCCCAAAGGCACCAGAGCGCATGCAGCAGCCGAAGCAGGCAGGCGCCCAAGCGCAGGAAGACCAGGCCAGGCGTTTCCAGGCCGTTCAGGAGCAAGCTCACCTAAGCAAGTGATGAAGTCACCCATAAAACGCATCAGCATTGCCAGCACCAACATCATCACCATTGCCGGCACTTTGACAAGGCTGCTCATGCGCACGACAGCTGAATACAAACTGAAATTGTAGGTCCTTCATCATGGCTGAGGTAACCCCCGAATTGGTGAGCTTGCTATACTTTGCACAGAACGCATTCTTGCCAACATATGACATGCAAGTGGCGAAGTTCTCAAAAACAGCCACTGAGCCCTTCACCTCAACCCCAACAATCCATCAACTTTGAGCTCTACCAAGACACAAAGGCAAAACTACAGCCCTTACCCACATCAACGCAAGTGCAACCCGAAATCGACATGGCCAACACGAGTCGGTTTTCAGGGTACAGGGAAACCTTGGGTCCAATCCCTATTTTGCTTGGCACACCACAAAATGTGGTCTGAAACTAAAAGACCCCTTTTAGTGGTGGGCTCTTTTTGCGGTTTCCCTCCTGGCTGTGGGTCAAAACCAATGGTACCATTTTGGGGTAGGTGCACCACCCATCTTAGTCTGTTTTAGTGGGGAGTGGGATGTTCACTGGGGGTACGATTTGGATTTTGACCCATGGCCTCCTGGCTCCGCTTCTGGTGCCGAGGCCCGCGCGTCCAGAAACAGGAAGGACAGCGCCGCCGCGGCGCGGAAGGGCTGCCACCAGGCCTTCAGCTGCCAAGAAACGCGGAGAGCCGGCAGGTCCGTGATGGTCATGAAGCTGTAGTAGTGAGCGATGGCCACATTGGTGCCTTAATCTTCGCGGTTTGTTTCAGTGTGAGTTGAGAAGAGTTTCAAGGGGGTAAGGCCTGTCTAGCTGAACTTGCTTGATTCCGGCCCATGGGTGGGTGGGTGTGGGCCTCAGTTCAATCAGGGATCCTTACATTAACCACCTGAACATTGCCTTGCCCCTTATTTTGGTCGAAAAAGCCATGTTTCAAATGGGCAAAATGTATCTTCTAAGGAGCCCTGTTCAACTACCTTCTTATTTTCATCTCAAAATGGATAGGGCCTAACTCATGCCTGACAAATGCGTGTGTGATGGATTTCCTTAGGTGAAAGCGTGCGGTCTCTGTCCAAATGCGCAGTAGAGTGGTTCTGGGGCTTGCTGTTGGGGACGCCGACTGGGTTTTTGTTGAGTACGGCGAAGGCGCAACTCGGCGTGCGCAGCGATCCAAACTGCCACATGAACAAAGTGCTGCAAGGCCAGAATTCAGGAACGTAACTAACAAGGGAACCATCAAAGGCAAAATGGGGCCTCTCCAAGTTCCACACAGCGAAGGGTTCCCTGTGAAATGGGGCACGCCCAATCAACCGGAGGGTTCTTAATCCAGGGTATCGCATCAAAATGGGCAGTCTTCCAAAAGTGCAGAATCCCCTCCAAAACGCCCCCTGAATAGGCCGCTGTGCAAGACCTTCATCACGTCGGGTTTATTTTTTTACAAATTCTGCATCCCCATTAAAAACAACCAAACGCTTGGTGGCGACTACCTCCCAAGGCAAAGCCTGCGAAGCAGGTTGTACACCCCAGTCGGGGTTGGCTTAAGGGAAAACACTGATTACGAGGGTTCCCCAATGTAGAGACCCTGCTGGATGGGGACCAACAGCTTGCTTAGAAAGGTTCAAACACCCCACACTTGCTGAAACGGCTGTTCTGCCGCTTCCCTTTCAAGGTGGCGGGCTGGTTGAAACAAATCTTGCCCAACCCTGGTCAGACCAGGGCCCAGCGGGCTGAAGCAATGTGCCTTCCTACGATCATAACTTTTCGCCCAGCATCCCGCAACATCGTTCCGTTGGAAGCCCAAGTTGGGGAATCAAAGGGCGACAGGAAAGCCTTCCGAACAGTAAAGAGAACTGTACTGCGACGATCCCCGCCGCAGGCATTTGCCCATTCAAGTGCTCAAAAGACGCGTTGCTTGAAGCTGCTCAAGGCTGACTTCTGTCCAACCCTGGCTAGCAATCAGAATCTGCCGGGTGATGCAAAAGCGAAGCAAACGAAACAGCGGACCGCTGCGTGCTGCTGACCCCTGACCAGTATACATCATAGCTGAGCAGAAATTAGAAGGCCCTCAGAAGTCGCCAAGCCCTCCTGCGCAGTTGAAGCGGCACACTAAGCAAAACAGCCGCCGCGCGACGCCTGCAAAGTTTCGCAAGGAACATGAATCGGCCAGCAAGCTCGACACAAGGTGATTGGTGCCGGTATTCTCACAGCATTGCCAGTACTCCCAGCATTCCCAGCATTCGCCAGGCAATGAATCCAACTGTTGGCCCGACTTCCGGGGCGAGAGCCGGCGTCAGACTCAGACTGGCCTGGCTGCCGGGAGCGGCAGGAGCTTCGGACTGTCACAGCTGCCACATCTGTCTGACACAGGCTCTGTCGGGCGGCAGGTACTGCAGGTGCCAAGTTGTGGCGCTTGGATGTCACTCAAAATCTACGTAGCCACCCCAAATCTGTCGAGTGGGGAACTAGGAAAAATGGTGCCACCGGTCAACAGGTGGAAAAAGTACGACTCTCGTTTTGTTCCTTGCTTCTTCTGGGAGGTGAGCCAACCTTCTGTCTGTGGCGCCGATGGTATAATCCCGCCAGTAGAGCGCCACCCACCTGGTATCATGCTGCGTGGATCCGTGCACATGAAGTGCGGATCCGCGTTATTTTTAGCCCGTCCGCAAACGGAAGTCGGAATTCCCTCTTCCAAGACGTGCCCAGTTGTCGTTCAGCTGGCTGTGCCTGGCTGTGGAAGCTTCCTCGCATCGAATCTCCACACATTCTTTGCTACCAATCTCCACAAATAATCATTCAATCAATTGGCCATGAATTTTGATTGCGAGCCCCTCACAAACTGGTAGCATAAACCCCCAAATCATGTCTGATGAAGCGTTATTTGATCGCTATGGAAACACCCCAGCTGGTCAAAAAGTAAAACTGAACTGTCTGGGCGGGCCTTGCTGCGTCACTGCGTCGGCGAAAGTTTGATCCAGGGGTCCACAATATGAAACATGTGTCCAGTGGAAAAATACTGACCACCTTCAAATGTCACGGAGTTCCTGGGCGTTCTAGTTTTCGGGGCGTTTTCGCAGAAAACCAGGCGGATTCGGGTGAATGCCGAGAAGTGCCCGGAATTCCACGACCAGGACCCAGCTGGAACCCGCTCGGATCTTTCGGACAGGCCGCATCAGCAGATCAACCAGCAGCGTGAGGCCCCAAGCCCACCTAAGACGCACCCGTGACGAACCTGAAGCTTAGGTTCCAAACCTTTTGATTTCCCCTTGACTTGAGGCTTCTTCCAACTTGTTTTCCCTTAACAACCTTGCAACCACGAACCGATTTTTTTGACCTCCAGCTTACCTTTGGGTTAAGGGCAAAAAAAAGCGGGTTGGGATCAGCAAAAACTCGAGTGGCCCCTCATTACAGTTGCCCGCCAAGAAAAAATACACCAGCATAGACCCCAAATAGCATGGGAGATTATAACAGCAGACTAACCAGCACTCCGACTGTATCGCCCAACAAGTACCGCCGGCAACAACCACAGCGCTTTGAGCACACCAAGCAGCACTCTGAGCAGCACCCTGACCAGCACCCACAACAGCGCCCTGCCTGCATCCCCAAACTAGCACCCAAGGTAACTCCCACCACACCTTAACCATGTCAAAATGATCAGCGCCGCGAAAACAGCACCTTGGCCGCGTCGCGAAACAAGCACCGCTAGCAACCGCCGCAAACAGCAACCTGACCAAACACTCGCAAAAGAACAGCGCCAAGACCAGCACCCCCCCCCAACCAGCACCCACAACAGCACCCCGACTGCAGCGCCAAACAAGCCCCACCAACAGTGTAAGAGCACCCTGACTGCATCGCAAAACAGGCACTGCCAGCAACCACCATAGCACCTTCAGCGCACCCGCCGCTTTAGAAACAAGAACCCCCGTATAGCTTGCAGCTATCTGCGGGAATAGTGTCAAACTTTGATGAATCCGAGGTTGCCACCAGTCCAGCCAACTCCATCTACTACGATCCAAGCAAAACTCATGCCGATGCCAATACAATCTACAATATCTGAGCTGATCGAGCAAGCTACCAATCACGAATCCCTTCCATGTATCTCACCGAGGAAAATGGCCCAAATCAGCAACTTCTGGATTCCGTGGAAGGGCGATTTATTCCGTGGAAGGGCGATTCCCTTCAAATTTAGCCATGATCATAGAAACAAAATCTTGGTACCCTCTTTCCAACAATCAGGTAAGGGTGATATTAGGTAACTTTCAATCCGTGACTTGGATCGGTGGGCATTTGAACCCGGCTCCTGTAGAGCAAAGCCACCAAGAGGGAAGCCAGCAGGATTGAGTTGCATGAATCCCGATCTCTATGACTGGGACCAACCATGCGCATATATATATATATATAATACCAGCTGGTGCCGAGTTGATCGATCCGTACGTCTTGCGCTTCCGCTCGCGCCTCGGCATCTCCACGGCGATGGCATCTGCTTCCGCCGGCGTGGCCGGTCCACTGAGACCAGCTCCGCAGGCTGCGAGGCGGCACACCAGGCGCGGCATCGCGGTGCTTTGCCCGTCATTCGGCTTTTGGCCGCGGCGAGGAAATGGCGAACTGGACACCAGAAGAAGAAAAAAAAACAGCATAGACCCCAAATAGCGAAAAACGCCAATGCACGGCAGCACGTCTATCAGCACTGCACCAAGAGCACCTCAACCAACACCCCAAACAGATATCAACCGCAATAGCACGCCAGCACCATCACCCCAAACAGCACCCGGAAACAGCACTCCCAGAGCACCCGACCGCCAATCTTGCAAAAATGCGCCCACACCATCAAAAGCACCTCAAACAGCACCCCAAACAGCATCCCCCCTGTGCCAGCACCCCGGACTGCCCCCTGGCACCCTACTGTCAATCTTGCAAAAGTGCGCCCGCACCGTCACCTGCATGCCCCCTAGCACTCGGCCGTCAATCTCGCAAAAACATGCCCGCATCATCACCATCACCAGCAGCCCCCTAGCACCCAGCTGTCAATCTCGCAAATAACTTTCCCTTCCTTATTAGAAGCTAGAACCCCTGTAGCTTTCAGCTATCTGGGGAAAAACAAAAACAAAACTGGTATATGGGTCTGGTTCGTGACTGTTTGGGTATGTGTACAGGGGAGCCAAATCAATAATTTCGGGGCGACCTTCTCGTTTGAGACACGCCAAACTGTGATGATAGCCCTTATTTGGTCCGAACCCCAGATTGATCATAGAGAACCGGAAGCTATGGCCAAACCGAACATGGAGGGTATCTCAAAAGGCTGTGGGGCAAGTCTTCCCAGTCGTAGGCTTCCTTTTTAGTGATTTTGGAACATACGCAAATTGGTGATACAGAAAACCGAGTTGTCCCTCAGTTCTAGGATCCGTCTCCTACTGTTTGGAAGCATCCCACACACCGGCGTGCAAAGGTGCATTCCAAGCGGCAAGAATTACTGCATGTCACAAAAAAAAAACAAGCTTTGAGCTGTGGGTGTCGCATCTTTTTTGGATGCTGGGCCCCATGTTAGGTAATTACTCGGTTTGGAGTTGCTTCAAATGGAAAATTCAGTGAAAACCTGACCCCACGTTGCAGGTGTGCCCCCATTTTCCAAGGCAAAACGGCGGCCGACCTGAACAAGCGCAAGGTCGACGCCTTTGACTTTTCAGCGGTCAATGCCTTTCTCGTTGAGCTCCACTAATCGGTCGAAGTAGCGATCGGCAGTTTGCTCGTCCCCAAGAGCGCGGTGGAACTTGTTCAAGATCCACATGGCCTTCCTCAGACGCGCCCGCGGGCCTTTGAGTCCAGTTTAGACATCCTCAACATGATCAAAAAAAGGCGGTCTAAAGGGAATCTGCCGGGTCCCAAAAGCAGTTTTGAGAAGAAAGTGTGGACTTTCGCGGAGCCAGAACCAGGATGCCCGGGACTGGTGACGGCTTGCATGCCTGAGAACCGATTCAGGGTATCCATTCGACAAGCAGTCCTGGCTGGGAAGGGATCGCCGTATGTCTTTGCTGCAGATCTTTGGGGCCACTCAGGAAACCCTCTGCCGGCCTGACATTGGATGTGATACGAGGGACCTGCCAATCCCCCCAAACGCCCGGCCCCCTAACGCCACATCCGGATCCACGAAACGGCTAAGGAAAGTAGACCCACGGCCCCCCCTTTTTGTGTTACTTGTATTCTTGTCAGCTTGTCAAAAATGAGGGTGGGGGGAACACTTGTTTCAGATGATGTGTTGGACGACCTTAAGGGGGGCGTCCAAGCTCCGAAAAAAGAAAACAGGAAATTTCCACCCATTCTCAATTCTCAATTCCTGAGTGGAAGTGCCAAGAAACGTCAACTTGTTTGCCACTACAGTCTTCCCGCAAAGTATATCCAGCAACTTGGGAAGACACTCTTTGAAAAGAAGCCAAAGGAAAACCGCAAGAAACCACCCCCCATCTTAAAAGAGTAACCACCGGAAAACCGGGTGCCTTCTGAGTTGCCAATCAAACCTGGTACTGACATACCCAAAGCCATGTGAAAAATCAGGAGGAGGAAATCCGCACCTGTTTCTGGTTGGGCCCGTCCCCCGGCCTTCATTAACACGGGATTTGATTGCCTGGGCTGTTGAAACTGCACGGTTGCCCCTGTCCCAGGCAAATGACAAATCCTTACGCAACCCAAAGGATTTTCGCATGGGCCTTACAACCCAGAGGGGAACAAGGAAGCAACCCACTGAGGCGAACTCAGGCCGCCCTGTTTGGACTCCTTCTTGGCCCCAGCAGCTGGTTCCGCAGGTTCGCAATGAGCTGGGGCTCCTTGGCGCGAAACTTAGAGCGAGGGGATGATTCTAGCCGCCCTCTTGACCTGGGTGCCGCGACCCGAGACCGACCCACCCATTTCCCACAAAAATCGCAGCGCAAGCCACCAAAGTAGGTAACCAGGGAGTTGCGCTGTAGCTTTTACATGGTGCTTTCCCTTGGTTAGCTATTGTAGTGGTAACTGGAAGCAGCGGTCCAGGCGAATGGGAGTGGTCGCACATCTAAGCTCCGATCCATTAGCTCGCAATTCCAAACTCCAAACCGAAACACATTTACCGAGAATTCGCAAATCCAAACGCCGAACAAAACAAAGGACTCCCAGGTGAAAGGGTTGGTACTTGCAAAAGGAAACATGGTGGGATAAACTGGCTGTGCTGGCTGGCGGGTTAATGGTGGAACCGCAAAACAGTGACATGCCACGATTGGCTGAGCCTTGCTTCAGGTTGCGCTTCCTTCAAACAGTGGAGGACGAAAACCCCAGTTCCATTTTGGCCTCCCAAAGGCAACATGCAATCAGAATGAAGTCGCAGTGGCCTGCTGCATTTCTTGCCCAAGGCTCGCGAATCCAAGCTTTCGAGCTCACTCTTTCATGCCTTGCAGGCTGAGTCAAGTTGAAACAGAAACCAAATTCAATTTGGCTGAACTGCTCCCCATTTGCAAGGTATCCTGTGATCTTGGCGCACAGCTAACGCACATTTGAAGGTCTCCCTGCGGAAGGGGTGCCAACTGATTCGTACACACAATACATCATGGCTCTCTTACTAGGAATCTTCACGATGATTGTCCACCCGCCCATGTAAAGGAATTGGTCATTTGATCACGGCTCAACTATTGAGTCATTTGATTTAATGAATGTCGAGACACTTACCAAATGCAATGTTTCGCGGCGTCTACCCGATCTGTACTGTTATTTATTGCCAATGACGCATTCAGCATTAGTTCCATAATTCCTCAACCGGAAAAAAAAAGGAAAAAAAAAAGGAAAACTGGATCCCCCCCCCAAAAAAAACTTCATTCTGTTGCGCTCATTTTGTCCCCTGGGCGAGCTCCACCGGAGGTCTGCGAAACGAGCGGCCCACTGCGGCAGCAGCTGGCGAATCCTCCGCAGCGCCGAGGCGTCGTCTTCCTTGGCGCGGGCCGCCAGCCAGGTGGCCAACCTCGGTCCAGGCAGCCAATGCGAGCCAGAACTTAGGGGCCAAAGCGAGGGCTCCTGCGGACCGGCTTAAAGGAAGGGTTCCTACCAGAGAACCAAGGGAAACCAGCTGATTCCTACCAAAGAAGCAGGAGAAACCGCCTCTTAAGAGTCCGAGTTGGTGATTTGGCGCAAGTGAGTGAAGCCCAAAACCCAGCGACGTTTGCTTCCACCCCGATGGCTGCAAAGGTTCATGCTTTTTGGAACCGCTACTGAAAGACCCACGCAACTTCCACGCAAACCTCAGGATGCTCTCGGGGCTTCAAGTGACTCGCCTCGGCCTTCAGGGCCCAACCCAAGGAAGTTCTGTCGAGCTGGCAAATGGGCGCTCGGCAGAAAGGAGACCCACACAAGAATGGCTCGAAAGTGAAATCGTTTGCCCTAGCAATTTTGCAGGGAACCTCGGAACCCCGTTGTGAATCCATTGCCTTTTTTTGGCTGCCCTGCTTCCTTTCCAGCCGAAACCCACACGTAAGAAAGGCCAGGTGATTGCAAAGATAGTCTTTAAACACACGGACCAGGAATCAATCGAAGGCTTGGGGGTTCTCCAAAAGGAAGCCCTCAATTGGCTCGCACACACCGCAGGTGAGGTGAGTGGATCGGCCAAAACAAGCCTTAACTGGTTTATCACTCCAACGGTTTTCCCTCAAAACAAATATATAGCAAGTCCCTGTAAGCTCTTGAAGTGAGATAAGCATATGTCTTTCATGGGGGGACTCCCCTTTAAACTCGGGAAGTGAGAGAAGCATGATTAAGCATGTGTTTGGCCATAAATAAACCAAGTAATTAAGGGAGATGTGTAAAACAGCACAAAAAAATAAAATAAATGAATAGAATATATAAATAAATGAACATATAAAGAAGTGAATGTATAAACAAATTAATCAATCAATAAGTACATGAATAAAAAACATGTGTTTGTCCTTGAGGGGAACACTCGTTTGAGGCCTTCAAGGGCCTTCCTTGGCTCTAGCCGCTCGAACTGCAGCGGCACGTGGAAGGGATCCCGGGCCACGCCCTCGAGGATCACCTCGAGTCACGCGGTCGCTCCAGGCCTTTTCGGGTGTCTGAGAGATCTGTTTGCAGCCCAAAAATGAACAGAACCCAAGAACGCTGAAAGAGGCAGCAACCACAAAAACAAAAAACAAAAAAACAGCCCAGGCAAAAAGCTTCTTGCAGCTTCTTGCAGCTTCTTGCAGCTTTTTGCAGCTGTTTGCGTCCCAAAACTGAACAGAACCAAAGGACAGCTCAAAAAATGCCAGTAAGAGCTGGAAAAGCCGGTGAGGAAAACAAAGGGGCCAAACAGAGTATCCTTGAGCCCGGAGTCGTGTCCACTCAAGAGCCAAAGGTCTTCAGACCCGCAAATCAATTCCTGCAGGCTTCCAGCTCACAAACATGGTTTGCCTTGAGCAACCAAACAAGGGCTAGCGTGTTCAACCAAACAAGGATTCCTTTCTACAGCCAAGAAGGGTTTTCCTTCAACAACCACAAACGACTTCCCTTCAACACTATGGTGTATTTTAGGTTTCCCCTTCAAACACCGAAAACTAATCTCAACCGAGCATTATGTGGGAGGTTTGTCTCTACATGCCTGCCCACAAAACTTGTGTTTGAGGCCTGCGGCTTGCAGCGGAAAGAGACAGATTCCTCCTTGACCTGATTCCCCGCTAAAAGCTTACAATACGTTTATCCAAAGGCGGATTTAGGACATTTGCATTCTGCTGGTGACCAGACACAGGATATACTAGTAAATACCACGTATGCTTCTCGAGCCTTCCGAAAAAGGAAACAAATCAAGAGTTAAAGAAGCGGAAATTTTGCAGGGCTCTCTATACTTCCCCCTTAAACATCAGCCCAACAAGAGGAAAATCAACCGCAACTGGTCCAAGCGATGTTTAAACTAGTTTCAAGGTCCGTACTTCAGAGTATATCGCCATCCCGCATTTCCAAGCAATCAAGGGTCCGATTTCTGCGTTGGGGTCTGGTCAAACCTTTGCCTCCGAGGCACTTTGTCGGCCTTGTCCGGATCCATCTGCATGAGGCAGTAGAAGAGAACCCGGCGCGCGTGCAAATCATTGGTCAATCCTCGCGCTGGACTCAGGCACTTGCCCCACTCACTGCCCAACAACATCTTGGATATCTATCTGTAAATATTCGGTGTGCATGCTGCTCGTTCTCTCGTGCCAAGAACCGAAATACTTTGAGAATGCCCTGTTTGGAAGGGAGGGCGTGCCGAACGTCCCATCGAATGGCCGTAGCTGCGCTAGCTTTCTGCCAGGTATCACTTGTGGCTGCCGGGCTCTGGCTAGCCCCACGCGAGCGCCATTTTCCTGTCGGTTTTTCAGGGCTCGTTCTGCCCACCATGCTACTGCGCTTGGGCCTTAGCGCCCTGCCCTCCACGCATCTTTTGTCGGTCGGTTTTTGGTCGCCGAGGGGCCCTGGCCGGGCTGTGGCTGCTGGGCTCACACCTGCCTGTCAAAATGATTCGCACACCCGCTCAAAAGCACCCGCTCAGCACCGCACACCTGCCGGCCAATCGGTAAGCACACCCGCCCAGGACCGTGACCCGCACACATGCGTGCCAAGTGGGAAGCGCACCTGCCTGCCAAATGGTAAGCACGCCTGCTCAAGAGCACCCGCTCAAGAGCACTCGCTCAGCACCGCACGCATGCCTGCCAAATGGTAGGCGCCCCCGCTCAGAAAGGCACACCCGCTGAAGATCACCAAATGGTAAGCACAGCCGCTCGAGAGATTCTAGCACGCGTTAATGTTTTTGGCGGATTTTGACACACTCGCGCTGTGATTGTTGGGCATGTAAAAAACAGAGCGAATTCTTTATGCGAGAACGCTTGACCGCACTGTAAACGACATGAAACGGACTTGGGACTTGTAGAAAACCAGCATGTTTGAAAGCATTGTCTATGGTGACCCCGAACAAAACCTGGTAAAACTCGTCGGTTTTTGCAAAGCACCCAGTGTTGCAGTCATCAGATTGCGCGGGGCCGTTGCGCGCGCCGTTACCTTCTTTCAGGCCTGACACGTTCCGCCAGTTTGGGTTGGCAGTCGCAGACAATCCCCACGGCTTTGTCTAAACCTGCTGCGGGCGGCAAGCAGGCCTAGCCGGTGGATGCTACATGTCTCCATCGGCCGTTGGTCAGAGCAAGGGGATTGTTCGGCAGCAGGAAGCGCTACATCCCGCGCTCGAGACTTTGCAAGGAAACGCCCTGCCTGCCCGTCCTGCCCACACGCCACCACCGTTGGAGCCACGCCAAGGCCATTGCGAGCAAGAAAGCACCAAGGAGGTCCTGAGGAGCAAAGCGCCTTTGACATGTTCACCGCATGTGGCCTTGCTGACTGACGTTGCCCTCCCAACCTGGAAGCGCTGTCACCATCCCAGCTGCAACCGCGCCTGCGCCACGCCGTTGTTGGGGGACCTCTTCGTGGTTTGATCTGGGCGGCCTTTGAGGCCGACCTGGAGCCCCAAGCAGCCACAACTACTTCACGAGCCTCGTGTCAATTCCCACGCAGTACGCCTTTTTCAGAGCACGCGAAGCACTGCGCAGCTTAACTTGGCTGGCCCGTGAGGAAACCCGCCGTTGCCGAGCTGCCCAGGCTGTTTGGAAACACTATCAGATCCGGGGCCGTGCAACGAGACCTCTGGTCTCACGCACTAAGAGCAAAGCATCAACAAAAAAGCGGCAAACTCAGGACAAACCGAGCATTGCAAGTCTCACATGAACTTGCAATGGCTCCCTGCGGCGTCCTCGCAAAGTTACAGGGCCCAACAACTTTGCCCCAGGAGAACAAAAGTTGATGCCTCTGAAAAGCGTGTGGATCACCAGCACATCAAATTTCAGACTCCGTCTTGCTTGTCCCGGCTGCCAGGCTCTGGCGGCTGCCGGGCTGTGGCTAGTGGGCTCAGAAACTGCCACGTCAACCCCTCCAAGCGTCATTTTCCGGTCGTTTTTCTCCTTCTGGACGATAGCTTGTGCTTGGCATGGGGGGTCGGCGGCGCACGGGCGTCCTTCGCCGCTAGGCAGATCCGGCAGGGCGGCTTGCGGTTTTGCTTGCTTGTGGGAAACCCTCGCAAAGCATCGCGTATATGCAGGGTTTAGGCCGTGTGGCTGACATCATCAGGGTCTGGGGTTGGGCCTGGGTAATGCTTCAGCGGGGCTTGGTCTGCATCATCGAGGCTCTGCCGGGCATGCCGGCGATGCTGGGTCCTTGCTCTACAAAACGCTGTAAATACTGTCAAAAAATGCTATGCAGCGCGTTGGGCTGATGTTTTGTTTGTTTTGCTTCTGCTGTGGCTGGCTCGTGTGCTGCGCGGTCCTTGCTTTTCTCCACTTTGTTTTTGGGCCTTGTGGCGCGCGCGCGCCCCCGGCCACAAAACGCTGCTAGTTGCAGTGTGTTGGGCTGGCGTGCGAGCTGTTCTTTTTCGGCTGGTCGTTCTGGGGCCTCTGGCGCGCGCGCGCGACCCCATGTGATTTGACCCGGTTGGAGCCCTGCTGGGGCTCAGATATATCTAGCCAGACATATCCTGGCATAGGATACGTTTCACACACAATAGAATGGCTTGACTTGGTAAAATTCCACACAACAAAATGACATGCCATGGTATAAGCTAATTTTTGCATCGCAGATCACTGTGCCTTCAAAGAGGCGTAGATTGTTCCACTGAGGGCCCCCTCGGGAATTGACGGAACACCAAAGGCTAAAAGGCCGCAAACAAGTTAGTTCAGTCTGGCAATGAGTTTATGGGTCAGTCCTACCTTAGCAGGCTTCTACGCTGCCGAAGGGCTGCTTTGTGTCTATCAAACTACGCAGAAGGCAATGTCCTAAAAAAGTCCGCCTGCGATTCGGAATCTTCCACAGCTTATAAACCTAGCACTCTTCCAATTGGCCAGAGTGTGGGAATATCCCAAAGTAGGGATCTGGACCAAAATGGTGAGTTTGCTTTTGGTTCCCTTTAAACTTTCAACCAAGGTGAATGGATACGAAGCCTCCAAAAACATATGATAAATATATATATATATGTATATATGTATATATACAAATAGATATGTGTACATACATGTATGTATATATATATATATACATGTATTATCATATATGTATATGTCGTTGCCAGAAACACAACGCGGCACTGTTTTGAGCGCCGTCCTTGGTCCAAGTAGGCCGCCGCTGCTTCAGCGATCTCCTTCGTAAGCGTCCATCCGTCGGGGTCCGAGGGTTTCAGCATCCAACCCCGCTCCAACTCTCGGGGTAAATCATGTCTGCCGAGCCCTTGCAAAGGGCCAGGCGCAAAGGGAAGGGTGGTGATCATATGTGCTTCAAACTCATCATTCTGGTGATCATCCTCATCATCATCATCATCATCATCATCACCACCACCACCACCACCATCATCATCATCATCATCATCATTTGAAGTGATGCTCATTAAATGGTATGAACAATCTTTCTGCCGCCTTTCGGTGTGTGGGTAGTTTTTTTTTCTTGAGGTTTTCCTTTTCACTTTGGTTGAAAGGGAAACCAACGGGGAAACAGAAGCGACTTGGGGGGGGTCCACCTCCCAATTTTGACACACACCCTTGCAAGTTGCATGTCTCCCAGTCCCTCATTCCCCTCTCCAATGCTCCGGGGCTGGGCACACGACTTCGACCGCTTGGATTTGCCGGATTTTTCTTCTCGGTGCCGCCGGTCCTTCACTTGGTCCGGGTGCTCCTGCCAAAGGCCCTGCACCATCTGCAAAGACATCGCCTTGAAGGCCTCCTGGAACGGAGGCCAGGCCCTGGATCCTTGACTTCTCTGGAAATTTCAACTGCGCCCAAAAGGCGAAAGAGGTGCGGCTTGGTCTTGGGAGATTGCCCAAATGCGGATTTTGTAGTTATTGGGGGAAGGTAAATTGTCAATGGAACTTGCAACCAATGCCTCGTCAAAAAATGTTCCCGGTGGAGGAAACTTTCTATTAAGCTCGGGGTTGGGTTGCAGCGCTTTCCTTCTCAAAAGACCTTTTTGAAAGCCGCATCAACATGCAGCGGATGCTTCCCATTGGAGTCTTCCTTACGAGTATCAATGGTCGTGCAAGTGAAGGAATCCCCCGCAACCCAAGACCCCCCCCTGCAACCCTATTTTGCACAGCTGTGGCTTAGAGCCTCTGGGATGGTTAGGTATGAATGCGAATTAGGGACCCTTTGACGGACACCAGCTTCAACCACTTCATTGCACCGCATGGCCACCCGGGTTTGTGTTCAAATCAGGGACCCCCCGACCGAAAACACGAAAAAACTGTGGTACTCCCCTTTGGCTTCCATTCAAACCACCCAAAAATACGCTTAACACACCCAAGATTGCTGTTTGCCCTTCGGTTTCCGTTTAAGCCACCCTTCAAACAACAAGCACACCGGCAAAAAAAAAACAAGAACGCAGCCCTCGAAAGCGAACAGTGCCCAAAATCAAAACCTGTTTCACTCAACCTTCCAAACGCACCAACCAACAAACCGACTCGGGGCCCAAAGCACCCAGGCACCCAGCGCCTGCGGCTCCAGCGCCATCTGGGGGCTCTGGAAGCTCACCTCCAAGTGGCAACCGGGTGCCTCGTCTTGGGTTGGAGGGTACCCCTTTTTCCGGGTGCTGAAGGGGAAGCCAAAAGGACCACCGGAATCCATGTTGCTGGGCTCCCCTAAAAAAAGGACACACACAGCCCATATGATAGATGGTAAACTCAAAGGAGAGGGAAACACAGTTTTGTCAACAACGGGGGAACCCAGGACCTTAAAAGGAACGAACCCCTCCGTGACTGCGACCTCTCCCTTAACCTTGGGGCTAGCGCGGTGCAACGCGCTGTTTTCAGCACTTGAGCCAAAGCAGTGATTGGATCATGCTTTGGCAACCACTTGAATGTACAACATGCAACTGACTACATGAGAACCTACCTCATGTACCTCTGGGCCATAAATGTCATCGTGATAATTGACTCCCCCCTCATTGACGGCACTGAGGGAGTGTCTTGGGCGCATTACCACGCCAACTTGAAGTCAAGTTTACATCACAACGACTGACACAAGTTATTCAAGCATCACCCAGGCACTTTGCACACTTTGGAAATTTTGCAGGCATGCTGCAGCGCACTAGGCAGCTGCTTTAGCGGCTCTACTTTCACGAACGTCTTCAAGCTTCTCTGGTAGGTCAACACGAATGCCGAGCAACCGGATGGCATGGTCCCACTTGTTGGGTGGAAGCGCTTTCGTGAAGATGTCCGCTGACTGCATGTCGGTTTGGACGTATTCTATCGAGATGTGTTCGCTTTCAAGCTGCTCTGCGATGCACGCGAGGTTCACCTTGTGTGTTCGCTGGACACAGCGTAGCTTGGATGAGAAACCTTTCCTTGCTACGAGGATAGTCGCCTGATTGTCCTCGTGGATCTTGAGATGGAATGGTCGGTCCAAGATCAGCTCCCACAAGCTAAGCGCAGGGAGCGCCTCCTGATAAAGGGAGTATGCGAGAGATACAATCTCCGCCTCGGTCGTTGACCGGGAGACCGATGTCTGCCTTTTGGATACCCACGCAAGCGGAAAATGCGTGTGCGGACCACTCAAAATCAAGAATCCTCCGGACGTGGATTTTGCATCTCGCTCTCCGGCGAAATCGGCGTCCACATAAAGAGACAGATGCAAATCCTCAGTCGAATCTTGAACTGTGCCTACTAGCGTGCTGTTGACCGTGCTGTTTATGTAGCAAACAAGCCTATGTAGCTGCTTATCGCAGTTTCTAGACCATTTTTGAACAAATGAGGCAAGGTCGCCAATGGGCTTGACCAGGTCTGGGCGTGCCAAACGGCCGAGCCATAAGGCTTTCATCAACACGCGGCAAGCGGCGAAGCCGAGCTCACCCTCCAAGGCGTCATCTGCAGGATCAAGGGATCCAGCGGGACAGAATGGAGTGGTGGCATCACGCAACTTTTCACTTTTCAGCTGTGCAACCTCAAGATATAATGCTACCGTTTGACGGGCATAATCCCGCATGTCGAACGCCATGCCCCCTTTCAATCTGCCCATTGCGGCATTAAGATCGGGTTCAGTTGTGTCCTTTGGAGCATCTATCAAAAGGTGATTCCTGCCTAGCACCCGGTATATGTCTTCTGGGGGTTCTATATCAACCAGTCTTGTTAACTTTTCCCAGAAGTCTTTATGAAGGTGGCTGGGGCCGGCCAACGTCAAGTCGTCGACGTATGTCGAGAGAAGTAACCCGGACTCCTTGAACCAGAAGTTTCCAGGAAACTCTGCGACCTCACGCCCTCCAAGTTCACTAATGAACCCTTTGAGGTGTGCCTCCCAGAGTCCGCCAGCGTCAGGATGCCCATAAAGAGCTTTAACGAGCAAAACCACAGGTTTCACGAAACGCTCGCGCCACCACCTTGGCCGGAGCTCAGGCGGGAGTGTGATCCAAGTTTGGTACTTGGACTTCAGCAGTGCTTGCACATAAGCCTTTATAGCGTCCGCTGTTGTGGTGGAATTCCCTGGCAGGGATCCATAAGCGAGACAGTTATTAAGACCTTGTACGCTCGTGGGATTTGCTCCCAACTCTTGGTAGACAGCTGCTGCGCCATGTTCATCTTTCGCACAGTCTCCGCGATACACAATCCTACCTTTCATCTTCTGAAGGTGTTTCGCGAGTTCGGCGAACTTGACGGATGCTAGCGACATCAACTGCCCGAAATGGACTTTTATACTGGATCGTCGCGCCTCAGCAGCGACTTGATCATACTCTCGGACTGAATTTAGATCCCAAGCACCGGCTTTCTCCAGGCCTGTGGCTTCAAGTCGAACGGCTTCAAGAGCTTCCGGGGAAGCCAACATTTCGGCACGTGACAAGAGTCTGGTCACCATTGCGGTGATCTCAGGATCCTTCTTCTCTGTGACTTGTCCTAGGGAATGTGCGATGAGATTTTCAACATCAAGAACTTGCTCAAGAATGTTGTGACACTTTTCATCTGACTCAACAGCAACACCTATATCTTCCAAACCAGAGAGAGGGGATATGTGCTTCAACTGCTGTTCACGTTCCCGGTGATCGAGAGGCAATGGCACTTGGACAGGCATCGCAGGCACAACGGGTTGAACTGTTGGATACAGCGCACGGGCAACTGTGAGACACATGCCTTCGGGGTAGAAAGCGGTCTTTGCGGTCTTGTTACCTGCTGCAAGCGAATGTTTATACCCTTTTTCGTGCGGACACTTGAATGCACCTAGTGCGGACGCGAGTGTGCTATTGCTGGTCATGACTTTCCATGGCTTCTTGATGGGATAGCCATTGCTGTCCTTCAGGCCTAGGGCGCAACCATGGAAGGTCGCTGGGGTGAAGACGTGTGCATATTCTCTAAAGAATGCGGAAACATCATCCCTAGCCCAGCTGTCGCAATCCCTTGGCCACTCAAACGAAACACTACCCCCCTGATGGAGGACAGTCTCTGCGTGACGTCTGAATCTGGAGAACAACTCTCTCGACTCTTTAACCTTTTGCTTCAGTTTCCTTTTGAACTGGCTTCCTAACTTGGCCTTATTAAGGCGTTGCCATGCTGAACCTGATGTACAGGGAATTGCGGCCCAGAGATTGGGTTTATCACAACCTTCAATCTGCGACTGCAACTGAATTTCTCCTTCATCTGTGCTGAGGTCGATAAACTCTTTAGCCAGCCTAACATGAGGTATGCCAAGTCCTTCAAACACGCGACCCATGTTGGACTCTGGTGAACATGCGTATTCGAACATCACAGGCAACTTGTCAATACGTGCCTGTTTCTTGCGGGCACGATGATTTCCAACCTCAAACTGCTTGCGCTGTGGAGCTTCAACCTCTGCGCCGCATGGCATGCCAAAAATTGGCAATGTGTTCGGACGACCGTTCTTTGACGCATCGGTGAGAGGTGTCGGCGGTACGGAGTCTAACATCACGGCTGCACCTGTGGTGATAACACAATCGGACTGAATGGGCTTTAACTTGAACACTGTGAACCCGGTCCATGCATCTCCAAGTGAGCGATTGGGTCGGCTACCAAACCAACCATCATGGATGTTGTCTGCTTTGCCCCCCTGAAACACGGCACGAGTGGTGCGAGCTGCAGTAAATCTTTCTGGGGAAACGGGGCAATCCTCGACCTCTTTTGGGGTAAAGAGATTTTGCCTTGGCATGATATGGTATCGGACCAAACAGTTGGCATTTTCTTTGAACACCCAAAAATCTTCACCTTGCGATGTAGCGGCTGTCGCTGGCGCAGTATCGAAAAATGAGCCACCGGGTCTTGAGGGAGCGGGCTCCCCAGCTTCGGCTGCATCAAATTCATGCGCAACATCTTCTGCACTAACTGCGGGCTTAGGATCCTCTCCATGCTCGGATGCGTGGATTGCTCTAGCTAGCTCCTCATCCCCTTCAGTATGAACAATGGGAATGGGTTCCTTAGATTCAGTTTTGGCAGCGCTTTTTGCAGCTGCTTCAGCTCGATCTGCAGAAACAAGTTCGGAGAACCTCTTCTTGCATTCGGCACTGTGAATCTTGGAATGACCGGTGCATGCACGGCAACCTGGCGTTTCCTTGAACTTGATGATCCTCTCAACAGTTATGTACACGGATTTTGACTTGACAGCGGATGGGGTCGGTGGGGCACCAAAGGGCGCCTCTCGCAGGGGCATAGGTGGGGGATCAGACCCATCTGTCTTGCCACCATGCAATGCTCTATCTGCTGCTGCTGCAATCGGAAAGCTTGGGGGTCCGTCTTCAACGAACAATTCCGGTTCAGGAACATCGTGAACGGAAATGGAACCATCTTTGCGGAAGGCTTCATAGTCCATGACTTTGACCACATTACGGTACCGCAACCCCGGATCGATCCTCCAACCCAAAAAGAGCGCTGGCGCCATGTTCGGATCGAGAGTACGCTTGCCAGGAGTCTTGGTTCTGTACCAAACCAATTGCCCGAAACAGCATCTCTTACCTTGAAACTTTTCTTTGGTGAGGGCTTCCCATTGGGTTTTCCCTGGGCTGAAAGGTGCAGGCCTGTCGAACGACATGGAGAGACATGCAAATGGGTAACTAAACGTATGCAACGAATAGGGCAGCCCTGATTGCATGTGGATGCTGCGGCAGCATTCCTTCTCCTCGCGAATGTCGCGCTCCAGAACGGTGTTGTGTGGCCACCTGTTCGGTAAGCTTGTCTCGGGGACGAGACCGACTTCGTGGGCCGCTCCTTCGAGCTCTCCTGCTGCATCCATTTTTACTAGACATGTTGGCGGCGAATCAGTGGCCCGAAGGCCCATGAACTGACGGAAGTTTTTAACATGCGCCTGCGTGTCCCGCCTACTCACAGGGTAAGCAAGTCGTACGCCTGAGAAAACATCACGTACTACATGGTGAGATTTGATTCCACCGAAACCTACTCCGAGATGTTCATCGCCCATGGCAAGAATCACGGAATCGGTAGCCAACTGTTGAAATGGTGCGGTTGGAACATCGACTTTGTCGTCGGATCTAGTATCCTTTTTGTGCGCTACCCTTGCGGAAGTGGTCTTTGAGATTGAACACACCTTGCAGAACGGGTTCT